ATAATAATAATAATAATAATAATAATAATAAACATAAAAACGATGACGGTAATGGGTGAAGGGGTGAGCACAAGTGCGTGTGTATGCGTCTCGGGAGGGGAGGAGGAGGGGCAATATACGAGATAATAATAACGATAAAAACGGCGTTTGTTGTTGCTGAGTGCCAAAACCCCGTTACCCACGGGTACCTGAAACGAAAAGTAAGATAAATATTATTATACCATATTTTTTTACGCCACGCGGCGATATTATTATTATCATGGCTGTTTTTGTTATTATCTATAGTCATTATTACTCCGATAATACAATATTACGATTATTAAAATTATGTAAAAGGAAAGAGGAAAGAACCGTCGTCGTCGTCGTCTAAATCACATGCTCCACTCGCACTCGAATATTATAATATTATATAACACATCGCTACAACTTTTCGAAAATCCTTTGCTGCAAAATTTCCGAGTTCGAATTCGGTTTATTCGCCGATAAGGAAACCGTATAATTACGAGTCCGGAAAATGACGAAAATTCATGATTTAATTTAATTTCTGTTGGTTCTTTTTTTTTTTCAACCGTTTCAGAATCGTTTGAGATTTATTTGAACACTGTTTTTTTAAATATTCACCTCTATTCCTTATACCGCCTGTGAACTTTTAACTTTTTAAACGACAAGATGAGTAAAGAAGAGTGATAAATTGAATAATTTTCGTGTTTCGACGATAACACTACGACGACAATAATATTTTGTTGTACTTTTAATAAAACCAAACGGAAATCGAATAATATTTAAAGAATCGTAAAACGCCCGCCTAAGTTACTTAGGAGTACAACGGTCGACACCTTCAAAACCAGTTTTCAAAAGACATGTTACTTTGTTTCACAAGGACGACATTAGAAAAATCGATTAAATTTTGGGCAAGAAAAAAATTATTTTTGCTTTAAATAAATATACGAAAAAGGCATGGCGGATTCTAACGCAACCTCCGGGTAGCGACTCGCTGATTAGTATTTATTTTTATTTTTTATTTTTTTAATGATTATTTGTATTAATAACCGTCAGTCTCGTGGAGTTTATCGAGCGATAATTACGATTTTAATTGTTTTCTCGCGTAAATTTCTCATTAAAAATAACAAAAAGTATATAATGAAATGTATAATCAATGTAACTATTTTTTATAGTTGAAAAATTACGCAAATAATATTTTAATATACAATATTATGCTAATAGAGATGTACTTTTTTTTTATAACACTGTGTACGATAAATTGAAATGGGGGAAAAAAAAAGTATTTATAATACAAATTACTAATACTGTGTGCTGAGCGAATAAAGTGACTTGCAAATAATCGTCGGAAATAAATAGCATTTAAAATATTCGAATGTTCGAGTTTTATTTATTAATTTTCCTTTTCTTTTTTGTTATATTTTTCGATGAATAAAACGAATATATTACATAAATATACTTAATACCTACTTATTTTCGTTATCACAAAACATTTGTCCGGGAATTTCGAGACTGAAAATCCAATTTAAACAAGCGATTTACCGCGTACTGCAAAAGCAGCACAACCGTATGGTATTTTAAGTCGAAAAAAAAATAAAATAATAATAAGGGAGCGACAATTTCGATAAAACGTCGGAAATATTCCTCGTCGTTTCCGTATTATACTCTCGGCATTTCACCGCGTGAACCACTGCATGCTTGAAATGCATCACAAATTTATAAATATGTTTAAACTTCGGGCCACATGGAAATATTAGAAGTTAGAAGGCTAGGCGCAGTCACGGGCGCACTCTCGGTATAATAATGTTATTAACAATAAATAGATATAGACAACCTTATAGTAAATTAAAACCGTATGATTAAAAAGTATCGTATAATTCGATTAGATTTCTAAATTGAAACTCTCGGCGAGTCTTTTTAGTGTTTTTGCCGGATAAAAGTTTCCGAACACTGCCAACTTGCCAGATTATAAAAAAAGGATTTTTTTGTTTGAAAATAATGGTTTTTTTCTTCGTCGAGCTGCGTTCGAATGATTTATAGAAGCAAAAATGGTCTTGATGAATCGGTATTTGATAGGTATAATATTGTAATTCATTCGTGAACATCAATCAAACTCGCGTATGAATATCGGCAAATAATATAATGTTTTTATTTTATAAGACATCACATTTTACTAAACTCGCACCGTGGAAAATTAATAATAATAATAATAATAATAATAATAATAATAATAATAATAATAATAAACTCATCGAGTAAACGTACGGTGACGGTATTTGACGTTACCTTATCTTTTTAACGGGTGAAATAACAAACATTTGCATGTTAACTACAAGACCTCAAAACTCGATTTTAAAGATAAAACGCCACCGCGCAAAGGGGTTTTCAAAATTGTCCGATTATTAAACGCTCATTATTAGTTCAAAAAAAGAAAGAAAAAAAAACAGTGTTTGACGTTTCAATGTTAAATAACCACCAATTAATATTTCGCCGTCGTCATCTCGTCAACACCAACGCTTTATCCATAAAACCGATTCCGAACGTCTAGTTTTGCATTATCGTTACGAGCCGGGTTTCTCTTCATGATTCTCGAATACCTAACAAACGCACGGCCGTTGGAAAACGGTTAGATCTTTTGACGCGAAAAACGTCGTCTTTCAAACCGAACCCCGGTGTACGGGTGACCTCAGCGCACCATTTCCCACCATCACCCTCTCCTACCTCAAAATAACGCCGCCGCGTCGTCGGACGTGTGAAAACCGCACGTACGTAAACACACGTGTGTGCGCACGTTAAAAGGTTTTCTGATCGGACAAACCGGGAGGTTATACGCGTATGATGTATTATATTTTATTTCGGAATCTCCTTGCCTCCGGCGGCCCCGGCGCGTACAAACAAATCCGGCGCGGGTGGCGCGCACGTGTCCAAAGGCAAACGTGGCGCGGGCGCGGGAGGTGTAAGTCATTGTTCCAGGGTAGATGGAGGTGGTTGGAGGAGGAGGGGGAGTTATTTTTTCGTTTTAATACCGACCGCCGGCGCAGTTTATCATCGACACCTGTCGGCTTGTAAATTAAACGGTCGCCGACCTCACCACCGGCCGAAAGTTTCGCGACACGGGTCGTTTTTCACCGCCGCGGAAATGTCGGCCTGCTTGCGGTCCGCTGTCACTGGATATTTTCAAACAGTCTCACGTTACGGTCGGCGGCGGTACGCGCGCGTACACGCGGAGAGCCGTGCACGCCGCAATCGATCCGTCAGCCGGCCGGGCTCCCCTCGTGGTGAGCGCCGCGTTATTTGGACGTGATCCAAAGCCAGCCCATTGTTTAAACGGAAGTGCCCCGGTAATGGATAGGAAAACACACGCGCTTGCCGTACCCACGATCCGGGTCCGCGGGGACGGTATATACGGCTGAGAGGGATACCACGCCGAGCGGCCGGCCCGCATCCCGAAGCCCACATGCCGCCCTTTCCTCCCCGCCTTCCCCGTCGTTTATGCCGGTCCGCGCTTTTGAAAATCTCGCGTGAGAGCTAGCCGTTTAACGCGCGTGAAAAAAAGTGAATATATCATCCCCAATCCGAATGTTTGAGGGCGATCGATCCTCATTAGGACGCTAATTATCTCAGAAAGTATTAATTTTGTTCGCCTTTTTTTTTTCGTTTTAAACAAGCAGTTCCACAACGCTACATTACATTGTTTTCGAGAGATAAAACTGTCAATGTCCACTATTGATTTTAAAATAACGACCTATGTTTGAAAATTCCATACACAGATGACGTTTTAATTTGAATATACATCGCGGCGTTGAAGTTTTCGATTTTCGTCGTCCCGATGACGGGGAGATGTTCTGAACAAATCAAAAAAATAGCTAGTCGTTTACCGGCGTATAATATTTTATTGATGCTTGTTCTGTTAAATTATTATTAAAAAAAAAAAAAAAAAACGCGAAAAAAGTCGACATTTTTCGAGTTATCCCGTATGAACAATATAAAGTTACAGATTCTATCTGAGAGATTGAGAGATTTTTCGCAGTCATTCTCATTGTCTTTCCGTCTCGTACTACGCAGAGTCCCTCAATCGGTTTTTCTGCGTAAATCCGACAGCAATTTGACTGCAATTTAATTTTCCCGAACTGGCAATTAGGAGTGCACAGTCCGCGCACTGAAATTATACGCGGCTCTCAACTTTATATAATACAATACTCGCGTTAACCTTTTGCTGGTATCCCACTCGGGCTTTTGTGAGAGGGGTAGGCTGCGTTTCTCCTCGCCCCCGTCATCGTCAATCCGTTAGCGCTTTGTCGTATCCACGTGGAGCTTAGTTATGTATATTTTATAGTGGCAGCAACAGCAGCAGCAGCAGCATTGACGATGACGGATTACCGCCGCGGTGACGGTGATGGCTCCGGATTATTTTTTTCTCTTGATGATTTTCCTCCCTTTTAACGGAGTCGTTAAAACGCAATCGTATTATTGTCGTGTATAATTTCGATGAATTGATGTCTTCGTTGTCGAGTGGGCCATATAGCAAAATAAAAAAAAAAATAATACTTCCCTGCGATGCAGTTGCAAAATTGTATAGACAGACACCGTCCGTTCAGTTGTTGACAATTGAAACGACATTCCTTGACGGAAAATTTGTTAACAGATTCAAAAATTTAAAACTAAAACTCATATTATGATATTGTAGTCAAATTAATACATTCCTCTCGTCGAATCACAATCGAAAACGAATAACAATCAATTATTCACGTAGTCGATACTCTGTAATGATCAATAGCAAAAAATGTATACGGTCGTATTTGATCACATTTAAATATTTTTTTTTTGTAATGAAATAGGACAGCAAAACTGTCACGATTCGAAGTTGAAATAGTTTTTAGGGAAATTTATTTGAAACGAAAATATTATAAATAATAACAGTTTTTTACTGACGCATTTGAAATCGAAAACTCACTACTCATACAAACGTAATTTATAAAAATATTATGAAATATACTGTTTGAAACCCAAACAATTTAAATTATCGTGGCGTTCTTTAAGATTAACTTTTCAAACGAACACTCTCAGAATATGATATATATTATGAAATTAGTTTTCTGTTGTTTTTTACTTGGTTGCAATATCTCCAAAACGTTTTGTTTACCGTAGACACAGTATTTCACCAATGAACGACCGCAGTAACCGAAAACGGAACAGTACAGTATTGTTAATCGTTTGCTGATCCCGACAACCTAGTTGTCAATGTGTGCATTTGGTTATCGAACAACTTCAGCAAACAAAACCACCCTAATGATTTGTTCACTAAACTAGTAACCAGGTTGTTCAAAACTGCCTCGCAAAAACACGCTTATTAAACATAATTAGTTAAATATTATTGCTGCCAGCCAAAATATGCAGCTAAGAATGGTTGAATCCGTTGCTTCCACTCACTACTAAACGCAGTTGAACGTACGATATACTCGCAAAAATTGAAATTGTGGAAAAAAAATAGGCAGTTGCCGTATGCATGTTTTGAAAATATAGGTACTTTCAGGATCATTACGCTGAGTACGGTTTTCAATTAGATATTTTATCTATTGCAGAAGTCAAAATATTCGTTCTGATGATATCCCGACGGGTTGACCAATGATTTGCGTTTGCATTTGCAAACTAATGGATTTGTTTACGGGTTTTTTTTTCCGTGTTTTTTCATCGACTAGGTTTTAACCTAGATTTCGGACACTAACTTCCTTTGGGCCATCGGGTAATTTACATTTGTCCGTGTCCCCTCTTATGCTTTTTCTAAACCCACGGAAGCTTTCTGTCGACTGAAGGCGGTAGGTTTCAGGTTTATACTAAGGCACTGAATTTTTTAGACCGATAGGGGTTTTCGTTGGGCGAGGGGAACGAAAATCGACGATCCAGTCAAACAGAGCGCAATGGTTTTTAGAACAACTTTATATATTATGCAAAATACGGGTTGGAATAATGCAGTGTTTTCGATTGGGCGTACATTATTTTTGCAAAAATACAAAAAAGCATGAATTAATACCGAATTATATTACATTATTAGTTATTATTATTATTAGTTATTGCGTGTATTGTGTTTGTGAAATATGTCTAATGCTTATATATGACAACGTAAAAAAAATCCCCAAACGAATTAAAATGCGCGTGTCCAATAATAACAATAATCATTATTATTATTTTCATATTGTCCCGGTTCAGACCGATGGTCTGCAAAATAAAAATTTACAATCGGCGGAGGAAGGGAAAAATAAAAACCATTTTTCAAACATATTTTACCCCTAAAGCACAGAGGCACTACAGTCAAATAATATACGTATACTCGTATAATATTATATTATATACCTCTAATGTTATTTATATGTCGTATAATAAACGGCATTAAATAAATAAAATAATATTATTTTATACGTACTCACAAAATATGCATTTAACATTTAAAAAAAAAAAAAACACGAAATGGCCTTTAAAATTTTAAACCCTTTTTTTAATTTGTTTGTCATGTACAGATTTTTTCGCCGTACAGTTAACGTTTTCTACCTAGGTATACCTGTAATAATTATTTCCGTACGTTTTTACAATAGCTGCGATTTTAATAGTTTTCGAATGAATGAGAGAGAGAGAGAGAGAGAGAGATAGAGAGAGAGAGAGCCTGGTACAATTGCTCCAGATTGATAAAGTTATTGTTGGTAGAGTCAAAGAAATGAATACCGATTGCGAAAACTGAAATCCTTCCCGAGTCGGACAAATATGATCTTGAATTTTAAGTATCAACACGAATTTAAAGCCATTGAATTGGCAGAACACAGTATTCAAAATTATCGATTTTTCTACTTGAATTACCAAATTATTTACACCCGACAAATCATTACGAAGGAGTATAGAACATTGATTTATTCTTTTGAAAAGTGTCAGGTTTATTAGAATTTAGAGTTTGAACGAGATTTTTTATGTGAGAAAAGTATGTAAATTAACTTCAGTTTGAGGAGTTTCGAAAATAAAAATTCTCTTACTACAATATTTTCATTTTTTTCGGTCAGGTTAAGTTAGGTTAGGTTAGGTTTTTGGTAAGACCTTCTAAAGTAAGTATCGGATTCTGCTATCGAAGCAAAACAACTGACCTCATCCATCTTTAGACATACACAGTAATATCACCAGTTGTTTACTAATAGCAAGATTTTTTTTTTTTAAACCAAACCATGATAGTAGAACTAACTAAAAAATATGTATGTTAAAATTAAGACAAGACACGGGTATGATTAATTATAATAATTCGCAGATTTCTGTTACGTTGGCAAGCTCGTGAATAAATATTAATTTAAATTAATTTAGTAGTCACGGGTAACAACATTGCTGTGCAAGATTTGGTGGCTAGCAAAGTACGAAGAGTAATAAATTTTAATATATTCTACCGTACCTATATCTGCGTAAAAAGAAACCCTCTGTAGGTGGTAAAGTTACGTAAAAATCGTATCCGAAAAAAGTTTTGTGTTTCACCGCAAAAGTCAAATACCGAAGTGATTTAGGGGTATTAAAAACGAAAACCCGATCGATTTTCGGAAAAAAAAAAAAATAAAAAAAAAAACACTAACCCACCAAAATACAAAACCTATTGTCACTGCTCCCATCAGATATTTTCGGCCTCGGTTTTTAAATTTGTGAGAGTGTAGGGTGGAAAAGCGACATTGCTATCGCGTCGTACTAATAATATTACGCGTTGAAAATGTTTTATAATATGACAGGTGATATTCAAATTAAATCTGGGTTTTTATCATATCTACTGAAATATAGTGGTTGTTCGTCAAAAATCGACGAACAACGACAAACCAATCGCTGGATCTTATCTCGCGAACGTCAGTAGGGACAGATTTATGGTATATTTATTCGCGTATATAAAACGATAAAAAGCACACACAAAAAAAAAAAATCTGATTCAAAAAGCAACATACATATTTAATAATAAAATCTTTAAAACACCGAAGTCAACAATTATTATAACCAGCATAATAATTGAAATACCTTTAATATATTTTATTGAAATTCTAGGATTTTTTTTTTATTTACAATATCATTAGATTTTTGATTTCGTACTCGTATTATATTAATACGAGCGTTATGAACATTTTGTCGTTTATTCGACGATCGAAGTTTTCATAATGACCGCCTGTAATAAACAAAAGTTTATCTAATGTGTCATTCTTTATGTTGTTAAAGGAGTATAGGTATGTGGTGGTAGGCTCTGACGAAATGTTTTCCTTTTTTTTTTTTTTTTTTAATGTACTTTTTCACATTTACTACTTAAAAATATCCTTGGACCTATAAAGAAATGGATCGAAAAAGCAGTACGTACTTGTATGGATTCCAGAATTGTTAGAAGGAGATAGGCAAACATCATGTAGAATAGAAAATCCTATATCATGGAAATAAAATGAGGTGGAGCCGTCATATAAATATTTCAATCACTGGTGGGAGTTTCTGCCTCCAACAGTGTTCGACGGTTTTTCTAATACGTTTTATGTTTTTGTAATATTTTTGTCTTAGATAAACAGATATATAGACAAGGCACGGGCATAAGCACAAAAAGGGGAAGGGCTAAGTAGGCTTAGCCCCATAAATATTTCCATAGCCCTCCCAGATGAAAATAATGAATCTCAGAATTTTGTGATAAAATCTTATCATCTGTATCTCTAATCTCAATGTAAGAAGTAATTATTGTTGTTAAGTGTACCTATATACATTGTATTGTAACAGTGGTTTTTCCACATGTTTTTGTATTGTCAACCAAGTTTTTATTATCTATGATCTAAATAACCAAAGAGCCTTGAGCTATTATTTGAGCTCGACGTCCGTCATGATATTGTTCTATCTAGTAGTACTAGTAGTAAATTTGTAAAGTGTAAGTACTATCTAAAGCCGTGGTTGATAGTAAGATGATAAATAATAGTATATTTTACGATATCTATATTCATGACAAAATCTATTTTATCAGTAGTATAAGCTTTTATCAAGAGGCTTTACAATTTACAAGACCATTTTACAAATTTGGCTGTTCTCAATATCCAGAGAGATGTTGTTAACTCGTTAAATAATAAGATATTTTAGAAGTGTACTGTAATAAAGACGGAAAATTTGTATTAAAATAAAATTTGAACTGTAGAATTGAATTAGTATATATATATATATATATATAATCTATTAATGTGAATTACTGTGGATGTTTTTTTGGGGGGGAAATGGTGAGGGCTAGTCTTACTAAAATATTAATTTAACCTATAGTAGTAAGTAGTGCCAAATTTTGTCTAGGGTCGTAGCCCCTTTTGGTCTGTGTTATTTTGGTAGTTTTAGCCCCTCCCAAAATATAAGGTCTAGTTGCGCTTATAGTCACGGTTCACTTTATAGGCCCAAGTTTATTAATTACCCAATACCAGTTTTGTTGTTTTGGACGGGAAGAAATAAAATGTATATAGTTACTGTGATGGATTTGAACTGAAAAACGGTTCTTGTTATTATCGACGACTGCTTGATCACACACACACTCGTATTCCGAAAAATAATAATAATATAATACGAAATATCCACAAATACTGTTATTCGTTTACTGTGCACATACAATAACAACTGAAATTACAAAACTAAATATTAGCGACGACGACGTTGAATGGCGTTTTCTTTGCTTTTTGGCCAATCGATACGATATGATGGCACTATACATGTGTGTGTGTGTGTGTGTGTGTGTGTGTGTGTGTGTGTGTATGTGTATTATTATTGCACATCATCTTTGCCCGAGCCACGCCAAAATAAACGGTTCATCGTCCACCGTGGCTGTAATATTTATAAAATGTCGCGTATTTGCCCGTTTACGTTTTATAAAATACACTTATTGTTATTATAAAAAAACACCCGAGAGTTCCGGTCAACAATGTTTACAACGGCAATGCGCACGTCGCTTATTTTGATAACTCCTTATTTTCCTAAAGCTTAGACCACGTCGTAGTGAATATAGATTTCAGTTCCTCAATATATCTGCCTTTAATGCCAGCTAAAGTCTTCATATAAGAATACCCATTACCATCAAACAGTTTCGATCATATTTCTTATGAATGTCTTCCTCTTGCTTCGCGTCCATCGATTTTTCATTCCATTACGTAGGTTAAACGGTGGATATTATGTGTTATTAAATGTCCCACTATTTCCCCAATTCAAGATCTAATGACAGCAGTAAATATACACTTTGCTCTCTTAATATTTTGAGAAACAATCGATAACTTAGCACGAATTTCCCTCGTTTGCTCCGTGTATCCGTGTATCACAGTAGTTTTCTACCGATTACGCGTCAATGCAGTGATAGTAAATGTATTACGAAGAGTATCAATAAGAAGTGACAAAAGTCTGAACTAATAATAGCGCTTGTTAATCGACTAGTTGATCAATTTTAATACGTAAAATACGAGTTCGAACCTAATCGTAAATTGTGAATTTAAACGACTAGATACACAAGGGAATTAATTGAAAATAAATAAAATAAGGTATTCAAAGTTCTAAGAGAAACGAGAAATGTGTTAGTTTTACATATTAATGTATTTTTTGTATTTTTTCTTAACAACTTATCAAACCAGATTTTCCTATCAAAAACTTTACTGGAACTATCTAGAGCATGTTTGATCCGGTTGGTACATTGAAGTGGTTATTTATTCCCTTGTAGTTTTATTAATAAATAGAAAAACTGGAAATTTTTTTCAAGGGTTACCTTGATAGCAATAGAAAAAAGATTTCCTACGAAATTAGATTAGTGTGAAGCCACTGTTATAGGCAATTTAATATATATTTGTCATCAACAATAAACCATTGCTAACGAAAAAATGATTTTGAGTGCAGATCAGTTGATAGTGATGCTTTGTTAAAAATATATATATATACATATATGTATGTTATATTATAGTAAAATAATTAAATAGGCATTATATATTTTCTTTCATAATATTTGTTTAATATTGTACTGATTTTCCCGTTTTTCCTACGTTTTTTGGTGGTTTTTTACATTTTCTGGGAAAACTTGTAGAAAAATCAAAAAATTACCTCTCTAAAATACTTCCCCAGTCAGATTATTTTTAGAAAAAGTGTTATCAAAAGTGAAAACCACTTAAAAAATCAAAAAATTACCTCGCAAAATTACCGTTTATTAAAAATATATTTGTGATATTCTACCAAGATTTTTGGTAGAATTTTAGTGCACATTATAAAAAAAAAAAATTACTTAATAAAACCAATACATTCTTCGTTACACTTATAATCTAAATACGACAAATTATACTTTGATTATTATCATTTTTCTTTATCATTGGTTCATCTATGCATACAGATATAAATTAAATTACTTTATAAATCATCGTCCCCAAATTTCAAGTGACAGCTATCAGTAGTATCATCATTTTTGGCTATTATAATTATGGACACATTAAATGTTCTGGTATGTCTATAGTATTTTGTTCAAAATTGTCTAAAATACATTTTAATAAAACATAAATTATAATTATGCAAGAGTTAAAATCGGGTCATTTTTTTCAACATGATGTAATAAAACTACTCTAACCCAGGTACATAGATAAACAAGCAGTGCGATATAATAGTACTGGGAGTTTAAACATCGAATATTTCTTGACATTACACTGGTGAAATCGTTTTTAAGGTCTTTTATTTTATTTATTTATGTATATTTTTTTTTATCGATTTTTCGAACTATATGCCCCGGTGCGTGGTTAAGTGAGAGTCGGTCGCAGCCTGGTCATTGATAACCGTATATATATATATATATAGAGAGAGAGAGAGAAATATAGGGAGAGATGGAAAAGAGATGAGAAGAAACAAAAAAAATGAAAACAATAACAAATAAATAACGACTTAAGCTCGTCCTCCTATAGCGTTTTAAACGATCCCCCGGGGCCCCGGAGCGTATAATTCGTTTTGATTGAGACGGTGCGGAAAGACTGGCGCGACGCCGCGCTGTGCCGTAACCCGTACATGATAATAATAATAATAACACAATATTATTATATAGTTTAATATCATTAAAAGAATTGCTTCAGAAAAACAAAAACAGATTCGTGTGTACGCCGCGAATAAACGTCATCGCAACACGTGCTGCTATAGTTTCATCGTTTTATCGTCATCGTCATCACCGCCGTAAAATATTTTGTACAAAGGCCCGAGTGGTGGGGCATGAGGGGAAATTTCCTCTCTCTCCTCCCCCCCTCGTATTGCATTAAATACCTACGCGTAAAATTGAAAGTGATTAAACTATCATGACGAAAAAAATTCACCATTATAAACTCGTCTTCTCTACCGGGACGATCAGTCCTCGATAAGACTGACACTCATTATCTCGGAAAGTATTACTTTTCTCGTATTTATTTTGTTACAGAAAATATAAGAAACAAGCAGTCTTTCAAAGTTACATTATAGTTATATTTTGTCACCCTAGTTTTTGAGGGTTGATGCCACTTTCAAATTTTGATTTTCAAATAGGTACCAAACTATATTATGAATAACGTATAAGTAGATGAAATTTTAGTTTAATTACATTATGTAAGTGACATTTAAAATGTCCGTTAAAATTCTAAAAAAAGTTAATGTTGTTCGAAATAAATTGTCTATTATTGAGGACTGATCACCCTGGGATGAATTTCTGCAGGCACCTAATGCAAAATACAACACCGTGTGATTATAAATATAAGTAACTGCTGGTAAAAATAATATCGCACGAGGATAAAAATAAAAAGTTTACGATATATTTCGGTTTAGTTATTACTTTCTAATAACACGGTCCGATAACTCGAGATAAAATACCTAGGAACTTGATTTGAAAAAAAAAAAAATACATATAATACCTTCATATCATATATTTTAAAACTTTTTTTTATTATTATTATTTTTTTTTTGTTGCACAAGAGATAAATAATCGAAATGTTATTGAGTATAATATTATTATGATTAAAAACGCGGTCACGTGAAAAGAAACATTATTCGCTAAACGTCTGTATTGTGTTCGAAAATTCACAATAAAGTAAGTAGGTATAGGGTTACAGTAGAGTAGTGAGAAATATTATCATTTATCAACATATTCGACAAAAATATTTCAGCAAACCGAACGTTGGTTAACATTGATAATAATAATAATAGTTATGTTTTTTAATCGATGTAATACCCTTTTGTCAGATCACCAGACCCATCGTTGACAAAAAAAAAAAAAAATGAAAATATAAATATACAGTTAATTCTTATTAAGTATACAGAAGGAGAAAAAATAGAGAAGTCTAACTAATGAAGCTAAAATCCAGCGAATGTTCTCGAGTGGGTGGACCGTGTCTGGAGATCAGGCGGCTTTTTGAAGAAAGTATTGGTCGGGAAGTTTAATGGGAAAAGACCAAGAGGCCGTCCAAGTTAGCGTAGGACGAAAAGAGTAAATTATGACTTAATAAAATGTACTCTGCTGGAAATAAAAATAGAAGATAGCGTAGACCGAAACAGATGGATAAGAAGTGTATAACTGAGGCAGAAGGCTTCTACAAGAACCGTAAAAACTCAAAAAAAAAAGGAAGAAAAATATAGGTAAATAATGCTTATTATCATCGCATGATAAGGATCACTATCAGAAGAGTAAAAACGACCCAGCTAATATTTTCTGGGACTACAGCAGTAAACGGAATAAAAAAAAAAGAACTCCGCATGATCAAACCGTGGTCGTAGATTTAATCCTTTCGTTTCCTCGGACCACCCGAATACCAAACACCTGGGTTAACTGAATTAGTTGACTAGAGTTGAATTTTCGAACGCACGCCCACGGAACTACATTGAAATAAAAATGTAAAACAATTGCGCAAATAAATCTGCATATTATGCGTAATTATAACAAGTATATTATAAATAAAACGTGATCCGGTAACTATATTATGATATACTTACTTAAAAGAACAAAAAAAAATCAAATTAACACCGCTATGTGTGTGTGTGTGTGTGTGTGTGTGTGTTTTTTTTTTGTTTTGTGGTGATGTGGTGTCATGTTCACAACCCGTTTCGTATAAACAAATACTAATATTATATTATATACACGCATATAATATTATTATTGCACGAGAAATAGTTCTGCACTTCACAAACGTGTGCACGCGCGCGCGCGCACACACGTGTGTCGTTTTGATTTTTATGGTCTCTGGGGGACGTTTAACTGTTATGTAGCTCGTTGACAGTATTTTTTTTTTATTATTATTATTATTCGACTATATAAATATATTGGAACCGATTACCTTGGTGTAAATTATATTTTATGTGCACTGCGTAGGCCCGTAAAAAAACGGAGGGAGGGGGCAGGAAATACCAGATAATTATATGTATAAATACAATATACAAATAAAAAAAAAAACCTGACGTTTTATGCTCGGTCTCGGCGCTTAACTTTAGAAATGGACGGATGTGATTGAAAATTTGCCGGTTCCAAGCGAATACCAGCGGCAAATTTTCCAAATTTAAAACAAACGTTTTTAACCCGTTATATATTTTCTGTCCGTTTTAAAATGTTAATAAAATAGAAAACAATAGCTGTTATTTCAACGTATTGACGACGGTACAATTTTATAATGATAATCCCACAGAAATAAAATACTAAACAAAAAAAACTGGAGAAGTTATTAATTTGACCGGCTTAAAAATTAAATTATCGTCGAGATGCACCCATTTCCTTCCAATCTAACGCCGAGAATTGATTTTACAATAATATTTTAGTTTAGTTTTTCTAATTTTTCTCGATATTAATAAATATATTATAGAGGTATAGATTGCGTAAGTATAAATTGTATATTTTGTATACAGAAATTACGAATATTATAAGCGAATCATTAAATATAATTGAGGAACGCTCCTCAGTTGATAAATATTCATCCAATCTATTATATATATATATATATATATATACATAGGTACCGGTACCTATATTGGTTTTGTTTTAATTAAAATCCAAATACGAATTCAGTATATATATAATTATTATCGTAATAGCGACTAAGTGCGATAAATTACACTTACCTACACCGTGATTGGAATATGAAAAAAATAAAAATCACTCAGTAGTGGACTCGAGTCCTAAAACACTATAATCCTATTAGGAATGCTGTCATTCGTATATATATATATATATATAGTTTTTATAAACCACTCAATTGCCGTCTTCCGGTCTGCGTATTGCGGAACAGTGTCACAATTTCATTAAAATCATTTTTGATACACACGGACATAATTTATATTTATCGTATACTGTTTTGGGGCCGAGGTTTAGATCATCGTATACAATGTGATATATCATGTTTTATGTTTGTACACTGTAATATTATAATAATATTATTTAGACGTTTACGGCGGTCACAGACAATGAAAATCCCGAGAAAAGACCCGCAGGCAACGTTGGATTGGCGTGGTGCTAGAAAAAGATTCAAAGAAGATTTAGAAGCTTAACTGGAAACGTGTATTGTGTAGTTCGAGTGAGAGACAGGGTAATAATGAATTGTTTACCTATTATCTATATGTATAAATAAATTCAAGTTTCATGACTTTTAAACTTAAAACCAACAAAAACGCGTTTTTTAAATTGTTTAAAAAGCCCTTCAACTACTGAAAAAACTATCGAAATAGGTGAATTCTATAAGTCCCAAAACCTGAATAGAATTTATAATACATTGGATGTGCATATGTGTCATAATAAGAAGACATTTGCTTTTTTTTTTTGTAAAATATTTAGTTATGGATTTCAATTGCTATAAAAATACCACAAAAAAAAAAATCAAATCGACAACACATACACATTAGTTTTAGGATCGAAATCGTATTCAACGATGATGACATTTATACTAAACGTCCATGTTTTACTTTTTAAAATTGTAATGATATATTTCTTAAGCTATGTACTCAAACATGGTATACGGTTACATGATGTATTACTGTATAGATAACTGCTTTGTATACTATTATAATAGGGGCCGAACAAAAAAAAAAAAAAAAAGTGAACATAATTGTCCGTTGTCGGTTGTATTAATTAAGTCAATTGCTGTAATTTAAACTCCTCAGTAATATATATTATAGTCTCATGAATATTAAACAATACATATTAAATTGTAAACTATTTGTTATAAATAATTATATTGTTGGGAATTTCAAGTCAAAAACCAAAAACACGAAATATATCGCTTCAATAAAATACAGGGAGTATCCCCCGTAGTGTTTTTCAAATTCGAAGCGAAGCTTGAATTTATTGGTTTTATTAAGATGTGATTTTTGTATAAAAACTTTTTTTAGTTGGAATCTTTCTCTAATCAAATACTTTTCAAGAACTTTCTTCTAATATTTTTTATAAGGACATTTTTTGAATTTTTTGTAATTTTCTTTTTATACGAGAAAAACTGGTAAATGTACTGAACATTGATTACTGGGTTATATTAGCAACAAGAGGAAAAATAAGAGTAATAGTACTCTGCTCAGACCGTCGCGATGGTTTTCATTGCGTATATGTATAAATTAAATTACTATAAAGCTTAATTTTTTTTCCTATTACCTATACAGTTTGTTATATTTTGTATCATAATTATTGGTTGTTTGAGTATATTATTGTATAATCGCGTTAAATTCGGAGCGTTTAAGAGGTTGCAGTGCCGTGCTGTAATGTAGAGTAGTGATTTTCGGTTATACGACCATAATTTTGTTTACACGTCACATCAGTTTTACGGTTATGAGATAAAAATATAAAACTAAAATACGTACATAACATTTATAATATGTACAGTTATTCTAATTCATAAAACGATTTTGTACATCTAAATGTTGGCCGTACTCCAGTTTGTCATAAAAAAAATAAATATATTACATCACACTAAACGTCTTTTGGAACCCCTATACTCTATAGTTCGACTCGTTATTTATTAATGAGCCTCGGCATTTGTTCGGGACATTACTTTCTTTCCCCCCCTTTTTTTTTTTAATTAGTGTCGGGTAGTGAGTAGATTGAAAGAGGATGATTGGCCGGTAGAGCAGAGGCAACGCCATCTCTCGGTTTATGTGCGTTAATTTTGAGAAAAAAAGAACCCCTGCCCTTCATTGAGATGGAAAGGGGAGAGAAGAAATCCCCATTAGGAGAGACAGACGTGCCATTGTACAATGCGAACGGATTTTTTTTTTTTCTAAAAGAACCAACTTTCCGTAAATAATTCAGCATCTGGTATTTTCACCTCGGACGCGCAAGCGTGTATTCTTTTCCATCTTATATTTTTGTTGAGAGAGAATATAATAATGATATAAAAAAAATAATACAAATAGAAAACAAAATAGAAAAAAAAGTTTAAAAAAAAAAGCGGCTCTTGTTTTTTCTCTCGTTCGTCCTATTGTGCGCAACAAAAGCTATGTACACAGACACATACACGTGCACACGTTCGGTACCTAGTGTTGATTTACAAAATCAGGATGTCCGCTATGTAAATAATAACAATAATTTGTGAATGACTGCAATTCATCTATATCGCGTAATTATTTAGTCACTGAATAGTATATCGAATCTTTTTTTTAATCAGCCAATTAATTCAACTCCTGTGAACTGGAATTTTGTTTGCTCCCCTATTAAATGCGGGTAAATTAATAGTTAATCAAATTTAACTGGTTTTAGTAAGAGAGTAGTTGAGCAAAAAGAAAAAAAAACATTACTATAACTTTAGTTTTGCCCCTCCCAAGAAAAATAGTGTGGATTCAATACCGCTAACTATACATTATAATTTAAATATATATATACATACAAGATGATAGATTCAGATAGATTTAGATTCTGAGTGAACTCGGAGATTATATTGTTTTTAATATGATGTGGTTTTTATTTTTTTTATGTCTGTAAACAAATTTTCTGCCAGAAATCTTGCGCTAATCAAAAACATTGTAAGAACTATATTAGAGCATTTTTGATTTGATTGGTAGAGTAAAGATGGTCGTTTTTTTGATTGACCTTGTAATTTTCTTACTACACGGTAAAAATTGGTAACTTTGTGTACAATTTTTATTAATTTTTAGGTTACCTATTGACAACAAGTGAAAAAATGCTACTAATAATACATTACACCACTATAAATCTTTTTTCAGTTACAATGATTTATCATTTCGTAAAGATATTAATTTAATTATTCTTAGTGTTCTCCATTCCAATTCTCTTCTAAAACAGTGACACGCAAATTAGTATTATTGGCCGCATTTAAGTAAACTTAAAAATAATGAACTTGTATTACATATTTTAAAATAATTGAAATAATCAAAAAAACAAAAATTCAAAACGATTACAAATAATTGATTAAGAAGTATGGCACTTTTAAAGCTTTTATTAAGACTTATTGTGTCGATAAATGCCGGTAACCAAATTAAATATTACGTGCATTATGAAGAACTATTTCATGTTTTACATAAAACTCATTTAACAATTTGGCATGGTAATCGTAGTAGGATGAAACACACGCTAAATAGTAAATATACAAATATAACAAGGGAAACAATTGTGTTGTATTTGAACTTACGACAAATAAAGGGCAGTACAGTTAAAAAAAAGTCTTAGTGGTTAAACCTATTATGTCAAAAGAGATGAATTCACGTTTTCCGGTAGACTTAATTGATATGCAAGCATTGCTTGATGGTAATTATAAATTGATTTTAGTCTACCAAGACCATTTTAAAAAAATTGTAAACTTACGTCCTTTAACTCACTGATGTACTGAGAACGTTCCCTATGTGTAACTGGATATCTTAACAACTTTTGGTGCTCTAGCAATATTATAAAATAACAATGACAGAGAATTCACACACAAGATGTAGAATGACTTGAAAATAGTACATGGAAAACCACGCCAATCTCAAAGTCAAGGCTCTGTAGAATGTGTTAGCCAGGACATCAAGAATATAATAGAAACATGGTTACAAGGTAATAAAACCAAAAAGTGAATCGAAGACCTGATATTGTATACAACTTCCGGTCAGTTTTCACAATGATTATTCTTCTACTTGAACCTTAACATAATATATACATATAAGTATGTTATCTTAAAAATCAAAAATCGATAATATTATGCGTTTGATTTATAAGGGTTAAATTACGAAAATAAGTTGTAAGTACCCTCGTATTAGACCGTTGTAAACGGGGAAAACTATAATATTATTATCGAAATCGAATTCGCACGTAATCTTCGTGTGTCTGATGGCGGTAAAATACTACCCTGTATATTTAATCGCACGTGTTTTTGACAGCACGTATAATGGTAATAGATATATATGGTGCGAATCGGTTTATTGTACGCGACTGCTTGCGATAACCATATAAATACGAGTTATTATAATAGGTATACCAAAACCTATATGCGTGCGATATATTATTATAACGCGCTTATTGTATACTTACGAACAGCTCGTTTCGTACGGATGTGTGGAAAAAAAATGGTTTTTTATTCCAAACCGACGAATTATTTTTATTTTATTATTTCGGGGCTTTCGGGGATCTCGGCGGGCAACGTGATGCAAGCAAAGGCGGTCGGAAAAAGTGTCGGAACACGGCGATAATTCAAAGGAAAGTTGTGTGTATTTTTTTTTCTCTCTCCCGTAGATAGAATATATATATATATATATATTGTATTTGTTATTATTATCGTTTTTTTTTCTTTTCTCGAGACGACGGTACCGTCATTGACGTCGTCGTCGACGGCCGACGAGCAGAGTTTTCGAGACGGCGGCGACGCGATGGTAGCGTGACGACGAGAGGTTACGGGACGAACGACAAAACCGTTTTTGTATGTTTATATTATATATAAGGGAAAATGAAAGTGCTCGTTTCAGGGGACATTTTTAATGATATATACGTATATTTTTTTTGCCCTTCCTTCCGCATTTTTCCCCCGCCCGCTCGCGATCTCGTTTTAAATAATATTCCGGCACGACTTTGAAAAAATATTATTCTTCCCCGCTACGACGGCGGTATTTTCGCCATAAAAACACAAAACTTTAATCGTATAATACACTCACCGAATTTAATAATTAACCCGCCGTCGTGAAAAGCTTTATTTTTTATATACATGTAGTCGTAATAATTCAACTGCTGCTGCTGCACGAGACGACGACCACGCAGTCGGATGCGCTCGGTCAGACAAGACGAGTGAGAAAAAAATGGGGGAAACAAAATAATAATGCATATAGAAACACGTAAAAATGGGTTTTTTTTTCTGTTTTGGTAACGTGCCGACGACTAGACCAGCGAAGCCTTCTCAAACGCCTATTTGTAACTATTTCTTCCTTCCATCTCTTTTTATACTGCTGCGGCGCGTCTCATTAATGAGTCATGTTTGTAACGTATTATTATTATTATTATTATTATAATGAGAATCCGTCTCCTGTCCCGACGATGGCGTAAATATTCGTAAATATTACACGATGAAGTATGCATGACATTTAATAACCTAATACACGTATAACATTATATTTTATATTTTAGAGAGTCGGTGATACACAATATTTGTTCAACAAAAACGTTCTTGAATCGGATAAAAAATCTATAGAAAGGAAATGCAAAAAATTGGGAATAAAATGTACGTATTAAGTATCTGAAAAAATTTAACGTCTTAATTGCAGTCCGTTATGAGAAATAAGAAGCGAGGAGATAAAATATTTTTTGAGGTGCTTCTCACTCGCCTAATCTTTCCATTTTGAGCTTTGAATATTGTTTGTACGTTTTTTCTTGAAAACGTCTGGCTTTGGGTTTAAGTAAGTATATATGTAAACCATTTTTGAGCATAAAATATTGTATGTTAGGACTTCTTTTTCTTTTTTGGGAGGAGAGGGTTCAAATTTGGTTAAGTAACTCTTCCCTCTGCACATTCGAATTTAATATGCGTATTTACATTATTGAATCGAATTTTTATATTATATTGAATTGGCTGCCATTAAGATTCAAATTGTATACGATTTTCTTATTATATATTTAAGAAGAATTGGCTATATGCTATACTTAGCGAAACTAACGTTACCAAGAATGTCAAGTGTGATGCGTAGATTAAAAGTATAGAGTTGAAACGCATATAGTAACAGCATTTAGAGGAGAGACTACTTTCAAGCGCTGTACAATGCAACATTTTTCTCACAAGAATTATTGTCGCATAGACAAGTTACAGCTTCGTTAGTTTTTGGTTTTTAAATAGCTGTAACTTGTTCGTATGAGAAAATCTCTTAGAAAAAATCTACGTGCAGCTCTTAGAACTATTATTCTCTTCTTTACATTTTGTTATTTGTGTTTGAACTCTAGTTTAATTCAAAACGCCAAAATGTATACTCCAAGTAACGTAAATTCTTTATGTTACCCTTTGGTTATATAAGACTGAGATAGTATATTCGAGTACGTGAGTATAATGCGTCCTCGATTGTGTGAAAACTGTGTTTGTGAATCTAAAAAAAATGCAGATCGAATACGTTTTCATGTACATATAAATAACAAATAATAAATACCTATGTTCGATAATTTTATTATTCGTTTGGCGAATCAAGTGCAGAGATAAATAATTATACCTAATAATATTATAGTCGCACTTAAATATGTGAGCACGGTAAGTACGCGTGTTTTACTGTAATGCTTATAGCCGACGCAAAAGCGAAGGAATTATCGAAAAACCAATTTATTCTTTTTTATACAAGGTGACACGATCAAGAGGTTAAACGTTTAAGACTGTATAGTAGAAATAACAGTTTAAAATTTTGACCGGAAGATCGGTATAAAGTCTAATTTTCGTAAATTTTTTCTTTTAGGAATTTATTCTCAAGATTCATAGAATTTGGTGACTTTACGATTTATAAATCAAAAACGATAATATGCAGTGTACTTATATGTCTATATAATGTTCTTATAGTCCGGATACGAGGTGAATTTTGAAAATGACGTTTGGCAACACTTCTATATTATATTCTATTATATTCTATATTAATATTCTATATTTGCACATATTATACAAAAAATTAAAATAAATCAAGTAACTGTGATGTACTTTTAAACGAAAAAAGGGCATATGATATATAGCTATGTAACTTAAAGCTTGATTGACTTAGTTGAAAATTGTAGTTGTTGCAAACCTACGAAAAGTTGTCCTCTTTTAGATCGATTTTTTTAAATCATCAAAATCTAGCCGTTTTACGAGACGTAAGAGTTTTTCATGCAACTGTGTTATTGTATAAAATATACCATGGCTCCCATCAAAAGCCGTTTAGAACGCCCGTATCAAATTCAGCCCGTTAAGTAGTTTTCAAAATTGATTTAGCTTGTGTTGAAAATTATATAAAATTCACTTATGTCCATAAGTTCTGTTGGACTGAAAATGATATTTATATTTATATAGATATTTTATTATTATATTTTTGACTATCTAACTGTAACGACCCGTAGTCTCGTGACCCAAAATTCGTATCCCCATAGACTGAAGTCACAGACCGAATATTTTCGCACGGTTATAATAATATAAATCACGTAGTCGCCGTCCGGCTATATTGTATTCACAAATGTATATCTGTGCTAAAACCTGTATATTGCGCGAAGACCAGTTATAAATCATATACGCGATAACTTTTGAAATATAATGTATTATAATTTTGGGTTTATTATATACACCGTGTGACCGAAAAACTCGCAACAAAAATATACACGAATAACGTATCTGCATAGGCAATTGTCAAATCTCGCAGATACACTCTGTATATCTTCCTCTTGGAGGACCTGCCACAAACAATCCTCTCCGCCTTTCCTTGTCGAATGCTTATAATTCAATTAACTCATTTATGTCCACCGTACGAATATCCTTTTCCATAGCAGTCCTCCATCTCGTTCGCGGCCTACCAATTGTTGGTCTTTTTTATGCATCATAATAGTTATGACCAGTATTAATAAATCGCCTTCAGTTCTCCAATTGTGCCTGAATCACACTATCTCACCCTGTTTATTCGCATACAGATATATATTTTTCTTTTCATATTTTCTTCGATAATAATTTACATAATATTCAAATTAACTAGCGACAGTACTGTCGAACAGTTTCTAAAATAATTCCACGATTTGATCATAAAACCGTCATTTCAGACCCACCGGTCGTTCATTTTCCGTATTATATTTCGGTTAATCATTTAAAGTTCTGCGTGCGCTTTTTCTCCGTCGTTATATATTATTTTTATCGTCTGCCGACTTAATATAAAAACCAAATCGATTTTTATTTTTTATCTACAAAATAATGGGAAAAAATTCACATTTTCATAAAACTTTCAAAAACATGAAAAAATAGCGAAAAATAAATAATGTTATTACTCTTATGTTCAAACGAGCGAGTTATCACCCGCATCAACAATGTTTTTTCCTGAAAACAAACTCCATGAAAAAATGACGTTCCATTAAAAAAAAAAAAAAACTGTTGTACAAGTAAAAATTTCATTTCAAAACACCGGGATATTTTTTAACGTTAACATATACGATATGTGTGTGTAGAAAAATGTTAATACGCGTTTGTCAGTTTTTCACGATAATACGCATTAGACTATAACAGATTACGTCATTATGTATACGTTTAATATTTAAATCGATAAGTCTTATAGCTATCGTGTTATAGGTACCTATAAATAAAAAAGATTCGTGGCAAATGGGAAAAATATCATCGTAAAAAAATGCCGTTTTTTTTTTCGGCAATACAATTTTAACATCGTATATAAAAACAAGGGTATCAGGCGAATTTTTCATCCGGATTTGCTCGGGGGAGAGGGATTTTAGAAAATAGGGATAAAGTATCCGCGTGCACTATAATTGATAGAATATAATACGGTTGAAATGTTTATATTATAATTATACTACGTTCTTGAAACGATATTATCGCCCGGAAATTATTATCGGCTGTTGTACATAAATACTGGCGTCAAATTTTTTTTTTTTTTTTAATAGCTACATTTGAGTAATGCGTTATATAAATTTAAATTTACACGAACGAAAATCATGTAATCATCGCACCTGGCGTACATGCAAATTTCGTTGCAATCTCATTTCCACAAACACACCGTTATTTTATAGATTGAACGAAGTTACCGATCCCAGTGAAAGTAGTGGTCACAATATTTATTTTTTCTGACGAATACGCCGTAAAACATTCCTGGTATTTCTCCTACTCTTCTCCTAGCCTTTATGCTCCCGTGAAAAACGTGTTTCGAATTTCCGCACAGCAATATTGCATATACAATAAAATATTTATTAGAAGTAAGATTATTATTGCTGTTTGCGTTATGACATTTAAATTATTATAAGACGACAATGTTTTAAGAGTTAATTTTTACACCGTATGTAAATAACTGAGTTTTTCCGAGTCACTAAAGTCGTTTTTCCCGCATTTTTTTTTTTTTTTTTATGCACTATGGTCGGTTTATATTTTTATCGTCCTTACAAGTTGCACCGTACCATGAGTGACGATAAAACCACGAGAGTGAAAAACAGCGACGGGCCGTAAAATATTAATTAGTGTCCACATATATATATAAGGTCAGGTTTAAATTTTTTCCCGGAGCAGTAAAGCATTTAGCTCAGTTTTCGGCAAGAACCATTTTTAGGTGTGCGCACCTATGTGATACTATTATGACTCGGAGTAATTATGCAGTTGTACAGTATGCGGTATCACGTATGAGCTCCTCCATTCGTGTTTATACCGCTATTACTACCAAATACCACTCTTTATTATTAAGAACCTATCGATAATTTAAAGAAATACAGTTAGAGGAAAAAAAAACATTTTCAATTTTTCAAATTTAATTCAAATAGTTTGATTAGAAAATGAAATAAATTGTATCAATAATATACGATGGCTATACTTACTGAGACAACGGTTTATCTCAGAAGGACATCAACTAAAATAATATTTGGAACACGACAGAAATATTGTTAAAACATATACATTTTTGAAAATATTAAATTGAATTTTTTAATCTGCAATTTTTTTACCTATGTTACATGTGCCTCTTTGGATAATATTTTCTTATACCAACAAAACGACAATTGAATTAATATGTAAATATTTTTTTAAATTATATTTTCCTATGAAGGGGATCCTTAGTCCTTAATTATTTTCAGGGGTCCTCTGGCTTTCATATTATTGCTAGAAAACAGATTTTTCTTCTCGCATAAGCTGAAGTTTCCATATAATATAGAAATAGAGGTAGGAACCATTTTAAACATTTAAACAAATTTTAAAAACAACCATAATTATTTGGCAGTAGCTTGTATCGCGTGGAAGGTATCTGTGAGCAGGAAAAACACGAGTTATGAGCGAAAAAGTACTCAAAAATCTCATATATGTATAAGTTGGGTATACAGTTTTAAGGGTTACGGAGGGATTGGGTCGGACGAAGGGTATCAAAAACTGGGCGTAGTGGTGGAAGGGTCTGAAGGAAAGTAATGCGAGAGACGGGGAGGGTTGTAAAATAATAATTTACGTTTGCATTTCTAACTAGCTCGTAAATGCCCATGGCCCCTATTATTATCAATGGAACGTATTGTTAAATTATTATTTTACATAGGGACGTCCTTTTATACCCGACCGGTCCCCGGTCAATACTCACCGCTGTCGTACCGAAAATAATATCCGAAAGGTAAAAAGCGTATATACCTAATATTATTATTATTATTATTATTTTTGTATTTTGATATTAAAAAAATATTTTAATACATTTACTATAAAATATTAATTTCTATGTAAAAATGTTACCCGCGATCTCCGTGGATTGCCACCGTCAAGCGCAACAACAAGAACAACAAATAGCGTTTAACTCTGCCGTATAACACACAACAATATTATATGATTACTAACCTGCAACACACAAAACAAACGAAAAACATTGTTAAACATAACATATTATTATACAAGTACAATAAGCCCATACTGAGCAAACATGTTTGAGGAGACAAAAATGTTTCTTTCCTAACCTTGCCCACACCTTCTCATCCCGAAAATCGGTCGATTATACGTTCTTAGCTTTACCAAAACCGCACAATAATATAATATTCAAACATTTATTTTTAATAATAATAATATAATTATTATTTTCGTTTGTGTATTACGTTCACCGATTGTTCTCAATGGCTATCAATGGGAATTTAAAATTTGGATACAGAAAATAAAATAGCCAATCTGTCATTTATTTATTAAATCGAGCTTTATATTATATCGCGACTAAAATATATAATTTAACTCATTTCAAGATTAAATTACTTAATAAAATATACCAGTCCACCTATATTCTGCACATTATATTAAATTTATGATGTTTCATATTGTTTCTATTGAATCAGATATCGTTTTTTTTACTAAATTTTCATATTTTTGATGTGAAAATTAAAAAAAAATACTTCAATTTGTATATTATGTTGGTACCTTTCTATGGAAAAACACGCATTGCTTTACACATTTTAATAGTACTAGGTAAGTGAGGCGAGGCGGATACGGAAATACGATATCGATTTGTAAAATACAAGGCGGCACCAACAGTATAATGTATAAAATAATACACTAGTACAAATCAAAGTTTTTTTTTATGTCATTTTAATTATTTTTGTAGTATAACCGAAAAACTTGGAACCATAATAATTTGCGCGTGTTTTTTGGCGTAAAAAATAATCGTAAATTTAAGTCCACGGTCGAATGTATAGGCACCCACCTAATATTATGCAAACGACGCTACCGCTGCCGTTCTTTTTAATGATAATCCATATTTTCAGACTTTAAATTAAAAAAAAAAGTTTTATCTATAAAACGAAAATCTCTGCCGCGCGATTTGCTAATTAATTTTCACGCTGTAAAAACGTCGGAAAAATTAATCGATATTTTGTACCGCGTTTGTATTTCAATTGTTCAAAGCGTTCGACTTCAACGCGATCGCGGTTACTCTATGTTATCATCATCATTACTGCGTCTGCATTATACATACCACGGTTACCGCATCAAATTATAATATTATTTAGTCCGTATCGGACTAAACATTTTGTAGGAGGGGTTTAATAATATAATATTGATTATGTATAGTCTTTACTTGACCAAGACTTGTTTTGGGGGGTAGGTGCTTAATCAAGTTTTAGAAACTTATCTTCTAATTTTTTTTTTTTTATTTATAATATTTGCTTCGTTTTCATTTTTAGCAATTAATTTTTATTCAAAAGATAACACGATTTCCATACGACGGTACCGGATATAAAACATTTTTTGATATTATTCATAACATCGTGTTATCCTTATCACGTATAAATACATATTATTATCATTGTATAATATCTACATTTTCCGTAAGTCATCCGAACTCAGTCATATTATGTTTTATGTATATGTTTCCGAAAACTGTTCTTGTAAAGTAAATAATTTTAGAAAGCAATTTACCCAAGTCCGTTGCGTATCGATGACGATATTATAATAATTATTATTGTCCATTATATTAACACCACCATCGATATTATAAGAGAACATTTTTCCGACGTTTTATGCGCGGTGGCTGCGCTTTCGTACTAATTAAAAAGTCCTCCCTTCGCCCTCCGCCCTAACCAGCCCCCACCCTCGATCGAAACGTCTAGTCAATTTGAAAAATATACACGGTATAACATGATCCGCGTCGCATAGTTAGCGCGAGTTTAAACTGCATTATTACTGTAATCGTTGACGCACGCGCATAAAATTATTATTATAATGCGCACTCACGATTTTTAATGAAACCGCGGCGGTGCGCGCACGCTCCTCGGTGAAACAAAAAATTAATTTCGATTTTTTTTTTTTTTTTTGTTTCCTCTCGTTTCTTCCCGTCCTTTATACGAACGTGTGTATACAATATTATTATCGGTAGGTATTATAGGACGGTGCGGTAACGACGATTAATACAATAATAATGTTCAATTATTTGCGCCGGACCCCGATCGTCGTCGTCTCATCATCAACCGTCAACATCGAGATAGATATAATAATGATAATGATTGCTGGAAACAATATTGTTGTGCCCGAGCACCCAAAACAATGGTATACCCGCTGACGCCGCCGCGTATTACGACGTCGGTGCGTGTGACGATGTGTGCGGACACGTGGCGCACTAGTCGTATGCGTCACACGATAATCGGATTCGGTTGTTGTGATTAGCCCGGATCAAGACGTTTAGTGGCCTCCGGGATCGAACTTTTCGATGATAATTAACTTCTCGTTGTAAGACCGATATCATAGAATTTTCAAAAACGGTAACAATAAATGGCATATAGACGTCGTTCGGATCTCGATTCGAAAAGCCACGAGTATTTTACAAATAAATAAATATATACTATTTTTAACAAAGTTACTAGTACTATATTTATTACGTATAATAATACTAACAATTCATCATTGAGCAACGAAAAAATATTAAAATATCAAATTACAAAGATTAAACATTTACGTTCGAAGCGAATCATATTATTATGTCATTGTATGTTTTTGGGTTTTTAGTATAAAGAAACATACGGTGGCAAAAACTGAGGTCCTGGAAGTCTGGTGGCCCGGAAGCCGTGGCCGTTTCTAGACTTCTCCTTAATCCGGACATGATTAATGTTACGGATTCCTAACTCTGCAAATTATGTAAATACGGCTTGAAAATCGATCATATATGCACTGAAATATGTTTTTATTGGAATTGTATACTTAAAACTTGATAAATAACTAATTCGTTATTATTATAATTTTTTTTAATTATCAGTGGTATTTGTGCAAATACGTTGTGTTTTGAGATGAATGATTTAAAAGTTATTAATCAAACTTAACATTATAACTAAATTAACTTTTTTACGACAGTCTATTCGAATATATAATATCACATATCAGTAATTTTGAACAATTTAAATCTGTAAAAGCATGTATTATACGCGGCATATAACAAGATAAGATATGAGAGTATGTCCTTGTATAACACTTAAAAGTTAAAATATGATCTAAAAAGTAAAAACTGTAAAATGTGTAAAATAAAATTTAGGATTTAGATTCCTTACATGATAAACAGTGTTTATGTTTGATTATTATGATTTTTTTAATCTTTAAAAAATAATATGCAAATAGCCTAAGATTCATATTTATTATGACATTAATAAGTCATCGTGTCTAAAGGCAGCGCCGGAAAAACGTTCGAAAGATTCGGGCAACCAAATGAAAAAAACCTATACGTCGTCATTTTGTAATAAGTTTTTTTTTTGTTTTTTCAAATAAATATCTATACTTTATTATTTTTCATGTTCGATTTTGGGGATATTTTTTAACCAAAAATTGTAGAAAAAAAAATAAAATAGAACATATCTCAGTAAAACTATACATCTAAATAACGTTTTTTTTAAAATGAAATAACAACGCAATAGTTTTTTTTTTTTTAATTTTAATTACTACGCTCGAGCAGTGACCGAAAATCTAACGGAAACACCACGCGTTAGTTTTTGGTGACAGTTCGGCAGAGATTCGCCGGGCGCGTACAAACGCTTAATGGATTTAGCAATTAGGCGCTGTCGACTTCGCTCAAAGGTATATAATAAATATAATCATAATTTAAACAGTGAAAAAAAAACCCCAAGCTTGTAGCAATTCAATTCGAGTCGAAAAGAATAAAACTGTTCCCGTTACGTGATTTGGGAAAAAAAAAGGCAAAAAGATTTTAAATCCAAACCGAACGCGCCGCCGCCGTTGACAGGGACAGCGAATAGCGATAGACGTCGGCTGAATGATAATATAAACGTTCGCCCGACGCGAACGTCGTCGCGTAATAAAGGAAAACCGCGTTTACGCATTTATTATTACAATTGTTTAAAACAATACCCTACTTTCGTTAATAAAACCCCGGCAATAATTTATGGGTCGGAAACTCGGACACTGCGGAAGACGGACAAAAATTCACTAGGTGAGGTTGTTTTTGAAAAGAGATTAATAAAAAAAATACACGGTCCGTCCAAAGTTGTAAATATTTGATATTTTTTAGAGAAATCAAAAAAAAAAAAACTTGAGAACTCTAAGAATTATTTCAAAGCCCGAGAATTGTGAAGGCTGTTACGAAAAAACGACTCGTCCAGGCTGGGCACGTGTGGCTTAAAGGAAAAAGATCGCTTCTGAGAATAGTACTAGAAAATGACCCATAGGTGAAAATACCGCTAGGACACCAAAGACTAAGGTGGAAAGATCGGGTAGAAAAGAATGTCAAAAAGTAAAACTTTGAGTAGAATAGAATCGGAGACAGATATGCTGAACGATAAGGTGTTAAAGGCAGAAGTCATGAAGAAGAAGAACAATGATATTATGGTATTATATACTGACGAAACGCGGCCAAAGTGTCGTTTTTTTCCCCCCGGGAATCCCCCAAAACTATAACAATAATTACTATTGTTAGCTATTCGACATGGTGAACAAAAACCGCTTCTTCCACATAAACCTTTGCGTGGATCCGCCCAGAAAATCTCGCGCCCAAATTCGTTCAAAACGCTGCGATACTTTAATATTGTTTCGCATTGCAGTCGGACAGATAAACGATGCTGTAGCGTTTAAATGCCAACTACATAATTCGCACGGCGTATAAACCGCATTTTAGTCAAGCCGATATTTTTATTAGATATATACGAGCGAATTGGCTCAAGTCCACGAGTCTCTTTACCCGTAAACCGTTCACATCCCGTCGGGCGTATATTTTATTATATCCTCAAAAGATTTCTCTGCGGGATCGGTTGCGGATCACGTAAATAACCTGAGCGTATATTTTTGAATTTCGCATGTATCTAGTTGGCTGTTTTCGCTAATGATTTAATAAAATTTACCGGTACCGTTTATCGAACTAGAGCTCTATTGGATTTTAATAAATTTGAGCATTTGATACGTATATACTTAAAAAAAAAAAAAATGTAAGTTCCTAGATTTTCTATACATATGGTACTATAATAATGTTATAAGATTAGTATCTAGTAGTAGGGTAGTCAAAGGTTTTCAAACTGTACACAATACGTGACCTATTTTGGATAATTTTTAAATTTTGGCGTCCCTCCACGTATCACCGACCTGATTTTTTTCTCACAAATAAATAATTTGCATTTGTATGAAAATATTTGCCACGCTCGCGTTTCTACAGTTATCACGCATCATAATTAAAATAGTTAAACAATTATTTTTTTCAACCCCGCTCAACAATTATAAGTCATTGTTAACATATTTAACTGATAAGAAATATGATATTGATAAGTGACAAGTTATATGCGGTAAAAATTACGATATAAATGATAAGAACAATTTTTTGAAGCTGTTAAATTATTATTATTATTATTTAAATTAAATTTTTTTTTGCAGAAAATTAAAAGAAAGTGATTTTAAAAGGTAATAATTATTATATAGAACCGTACTGTCTAAAAGAAACAGAGTATAAAAAATAACTAATGTTATTTTTTCTAACTTTAACGCAAATTATACAATCTTTAATAAAACGATGTTAATACTCTGACAGCAGTAAAAATATATATGTTTACACAACTTATACGACAGTATTTAATTTAAAAAATATATATATTTTCACCCTTAGTACAGTTTGTCTAATATCTATTTTTGACCTGAGTGCAATTCGTCCCTTTGATTCGGGTAAATAGTGTGATTCGATAACCATCCTGCATTTTTTTTCCTTATATATATATAAAATATCCTTGTCTCATTGGCTGGCCGTTTTTCGGATATAACTTTGAGCCCTGTCTACATCGAAAAAATTGCAAAACGTCGCCCATCCCCTCTCCCGGATAGCTTCTTCTAGCGTGAATACGATCGCCCGATGTTGTCCATTTAATGCGTATTATAGATACATAAAAATACACAGAACATTATTATTGGCTGTGTGTGCACATAATAATATTATTATTATATTATAGTTAAACACGCCCGTCCGGTCTAATGATGTACAACCGGAAATCCGCACCCGTGCGACCGGGGCAGTTATAATGTACGCTGAAATGGACAAAAGAGACAAGTGCGGTATACAATTACCATAAGAATATATGACGTATATACTGCAGTACCTATATACGAAAATGGTTAGTCTTGTTAGTTGTTAGGTTCTCGACCCAGAGGGGTCCCGACCCCCGATAATACAACCGTATAGGGTTAGGTATTGTGTGTCCACTATGTACGTACATACATATGTAATATAAGTAAACACTTGAACGCGTATTACATACAGGATCACGAGGACGACGACGCGTGACATTTATTATAAATGTCTCCTGTGTATGTACGGTAGCAGGGCCGGTGGTAATTATTGATCGAGTGACATTATTATGCGTATACTACAAACTGTATAATAGAATATTTATCGATCAAATTTAATTTTTTTTTTCTTTTCATTATTCTTAACGTATAATATTAGAGCTTCGTGTTTTACAATACTACTCGTCGCGTCAATTATATATTATACTCAAACGAGCCGGACAAAAACACTCACGACGTTCCCGTACTTAATTTAAAAATAATACGTAATTTTTTTTTTATCACAAAATTAGACAAGTACCACCTATACCTGTACCTATCAGTTTAAAACAATAATATTATAATCACTGCAACTGCTGTAGGTTTTTGTATCGGACGACAGACGTTATAATGTAATTCTCGTATAATATATAGGTATCCAATAGTGTACCCCGGAAACGTTGGCGTTTAAAAAAAGATTCATAATTGCGCGGGAAATATCTTTGCCGTAATTTATAAAAAAAAAAATACACGAGTACAGGCCGAAACTAAGTATACAATATACAGTATTATACAGACAAAACGACAATGATTGGTTACGAAATAATATGACACTATAATAATGTCAACGTCATACGTTGGCAAAGTCAAATACTATAATATAGGTACCTGTTATCTATTCAACGGATATTATAATATTTTATTTGCTCGAATAGAATTACCACACATGTATGTTTTTCTTTTTAGAAATATTACTAACCCCGCAAAAATATTAAAATCGAGTGATTATACCCTGAAAATGCAGTAAAACAGAAATCGTCAAAATGGCTATCGTTCTCCTTTCCGTTTTTCGTGGTTTAGTGATAATATAAACGTGTATTTTCGTATTTTCGTAATGTAAATACGCATGTGTATTATTTTTGTGACTCGAATTTTTCATGAAAATTGAGCCTATAATATTATCCCTACTATATTATAGCACTGTATTGTGTCAGTTATTACACATATCTTTTTTCGTTTACTTTTGAATACTTTTAAAGGCTTCTTCTGTACGATATTTGATCTCAAACTCTGGAATTCTAGTTGTTTTATAAGTGGATCAAATTTTTATAACACTGGTTCAATTTCAATCTATATTGTAGCGGAAGTAGGGTGTTTTTAATTTTTTTTATTGTGAACATTACTACAGACCATTTAATGAAATACATTTTTTACACTAAAATTTCCCCATATTTATTGAAAGTATAATTGTATTATATATTATAGTATTCAGTTACCTATGTTATTGTTTTACAAAGAATATTTCTTCAATACAAAATAGTTGAGGGGAGAGGAATTCGACTCTAGTGGCATGGAGCTCTGCTGTTCATAATCAATTCGGTTTATAAACAAGCACATTTTTACATGTGCATATTTTAGTTATTTTCAACATACATCGTCGGTTTAAGCGAATAAATGCAGCCGTAAATATATTATTGATAATATTACAAAAAATATTATCATAGCTTAACCAATAACGTATAAAAACCGAAATAACCGCCATAATAATAATATGAGATGGTATTTAACTCGCGAAGCTTGTAATTTATACAACAGTAGGTATACAGTGAGTCTAAGACAGTGTACACACAACAGTATAGATATTAGCGTGTGTCGCTTGACCTTCTTCGCCGTCTTCTACCTGTATAATAATAGCAGCGAACGCCCTGAAGTCACGGGCCAAAATGTTCTCGTAGCCAATTCGAAATGCCAACGATAGATTCTAATCGCAAACGAGTACCCCGCAAACTCACGTGGCGTATGTATATGAGATCCGTTAGAAGAGTGAGAGAGAAAGAGAGAGAGAATAAAAATAATAATAATACCTAAGATACGATGCGATATCGAATTTGACCCGTCGCCGCCAAAAAAAAAAAAAAAAACCAATTTAATAATACACGTTCGGAAGTTTTCGAAGAGACGGCCGGAAATGATAAAATATAATATTATTGAAACGAAATCTTTTTAACTTATTTATTTATTTATTTTTTTTTTTTTTTAACGTCACAGGTGACGATAAATATCTCTGTGTATGGACTGCGGAACGGTCGGCCGGACACAGTTTCGAGCTATTTCTAGACCTCGGAGTCGGCAGACGGCAGACGACGGCCACACTGCACAATCGATGCGCTTTGTTGTCGTCGGCACTGCGCGAGTATATATAGGTATATATAAATAAAAGAAATATATATATATATACATTTTACATTATTATTATCGTAAAAAGTGTGTGTGCAAGTGTATGTGTGTGTTTTGTATTATATTACTGATGTACGTCAGTCTGCGTGCCAGATCCGTTCGAGACATCGTTACATCGTTGCATCACTCGGAGAACGATGGATGATTAAAAATAATAATAATCATAATCATAATAAAAAAAAATAAAAACATCCGCTGCTAACGATTCGGTGACAGCAGACCGCGCAGAACAATTGTTCTACATATTTTATGATATATATATATATATATACGTATTTATTCATTCGTTATTTGAATTAACGAACGATTCCTCTCAACCGCTACGCAATGCAAGATCGACGAGATAATAATAATGTTAATACGGTTTCGCTTAGGACGTGCAGATGATATCCGATGATTTTTCGCGTGGTAAAAAAAAATTCCGAACGAAACAATCGAAATAGCCTTATGTACACAAAAAAATAAAGAAAACAGTGACATGCGCTGTAAAAGGAAATTTAGGGTTTATAATGCTCGTAGCTTCCTCTCCCCTTATCTGTTGGATTACAAATACGGCTATGAATATTTATTTAATAATTCATTCTTGAAATGTGTAATATAGAATTCAGCAGAGTTACAAGTAGTCTCGGTGTATTGAATACAAATTGGCTTTTTTGAATCCGGCATTTGAATATTCGCATATTGTCGGGTTAGGCATAGAATAACAGTCTGCAATCCATCCATTATTGTTTTATTATTTACTACATTCCCTCATCTCCCAATAATCTGGATAAAAACAAAAAATGCGTAACAACTCTATATTTTTCTTTTTTAGATTCCTTCATAATGCATTTATTGGAAAACGCCACGAATTGTAAAATATTTTATTACTTAATGTTTTACATCTGAATTTGCTTTGAAAAGTACCAACCTTAAATATATAATAAGTATCTATCTTTTTATTCTTTCAGTTTTGCACGGTTTTGAAAAAATTATATCACGTTACAACACATAATAAATAGATGATAAAATTATGTAATACGGGATTACTGATATATACTTGTAAAATTATTTTAAAGTGAATTCAACTTATAATTATTAAATAATTAAAAATTATTATTCTCAAGTCGACTGATTATTGTGGTTAAAAAAGGTCTTAAAAATTATTTATAATTGCCTATACGATACGCCTTAAATATACTACGAGATGTATGAGGTCCACTTAGATAAAATTGCGCGTAAAGCAGTAAATAATTGCAGCATATTGCATAGTTTAAGTAGAATTGTATAGATATTTCAATCTGCAGTATCGCTATAGGTATTTGTACCATACAATGAGAACCATATTAAAAACGAATAATCATAATATTATAAGTAATGTCGAATTATGTAGAATTTTTCTTATAAATAGAGACAATTGTATGATGATCATATTTATTTATTTTTTCCCGCTACTTTTTGTCATTTCTAGTAACTACCTCTGTATCAAATAAGCTCAAACTCGAGAATTAAAGTTGTTTTTAAGGTGTATAAAAGGGTAATGAAAGTTTGGTTGAGTTTCAATATGAATTGAACCATGTTTTTTCTTACGGATGGAAAGTGTTGTTTTAGCTTGGTAAATACCTACAGTCTCCCTAAATAAATTCAAGGCAATGAAATGTTTAATACGCATAGTATTAGAACGCAGCTAGAATTTGTCTTTTCAGGTTTTCAACTTTAACCGCTGCCATTTATATGATAAAATTTCAATATTTCATAGAAGTATAGTATACAAGAAATATATAGTAGATATAGAGGTTGATTTTCAACAAATATTTCTATTTACAAAATAGGTGGGGATGAGAAATTTGCCTCTAGTGTCGGAGCCCAGCTGCTCACGGGTGTTTTGAAAAACACCCGTTATTGATACGAATAATAATTATCGAGGATATTACGCAATATGTATTACAATACATACGCAGTGGCAAGGTATACTGGACGTTTGTACATGGCGTAACATTTGGGTGTGGCGCTTCTGAAAGGCCTCGCGCAAATAAGAATTTTATATTCAGAATTTAGCATAATGCAGTTTATAGTGTAACAATATCGGATTTTAAATCCGCATTGCGCAATCGTGACTTCGAGATTTCAAGATTTCTACGGACAAAAATATAATATCGGGCTAGACGCGGCTGATAAAGAAATAGATATACCAATTAACATTATGATACGTGTGTTTTCCTGTGTAATATTATGCGTCTGCGTTGTTTGTCTGTAAATAAATGTTATTTCCTTTCACCTAAAAACGTTGAACTTAATTATTATTGCAGTAATTACGTACGGTACGTATTTCCGACGATTTTAGCGCAATAACTTGTAAGTTCTGAAGGTTCTTTGTGTATGCACACACATATATATATAGGTACCTACACTTAATTATTTGTCCAAGATAGTGTTCAAAGCGTAAAATATGTATAGATCTCGGAACAGTAATAATTTATCCTCTCCGATACTCGGCACAGTTGTTGCCGACATAATATTTGTTACGAAAACAAAACGGGAGCGTCCACGTCTCTCGGGTAGGTTTTTTTTTCTTCTACTTTTTAACGTCTATAAGTTTATACTTTATAATTTCATAGGGACAAATTCCGCGCCGTCAAAGTTCGAACGTTTCAATTATGTACACGATAAGTAGGTAGTGTACGGTTAGTAGGTGTGTAGGTATACGGTGTCTCAGACTTTATGCACGTATAATATATTATACAAAGACCCGTGTGAACTCGCGCAAGGAGTGAATCTCGAGTCGCTATATATTATTAAAACTGCACGGCCTTGTTGCAGTAGGTACCCATAGTGATTGTTTCTTCCTGTCGCAACGTCTTTCATTTGACATCCAGTATACGGGAAAGGTGACGATGGCATTAAGCAGTTATAACGGGACCGGGTAGCAGTAACCAAGGAAACCCGTAGAAATTAAAGGGAGGAAAAACAAAACTTACGAAATTCAAGTGCAACAATCAACCGCAGAATACCTACTCATCAGTCGAAGTATGAAAGTAGGGTTCCATCAGTGATTTATCAACGTGTTTTTTTTTTTTTTTTAAAAATGAAAAATTGTACAGTTTTTCAAAAGCTGAAATCTTCTCCTATTTTAAACCGTTGTGTTATATTTTTTTATGTCTATATAATATATTATACACATACTCTATTACGAGATTTGCATATTTTATTTTCAGTTATCTTTCGGTTTTGTTTTTGTTTTTTAACATTATTTATCCAGAAAAAAAAACTTTTCCAGCAAATTAAATCGTTGTCGTGTGTGTAAAATATGAAAACAACGGCTTTTTTCAAATTTTTTTATAAGCATATAACATGACAAAGAAAACATTACCGATATAATATTTTTATAAACGATTGCATTTGACCGCATATTTTAGTTGTTTTTTTTTACAGGTGATTATTTTTTTGGAGGAAAAGGAGTTAGTATTTTAAATTCATACGGCCCTATACCAGAGGTGGCTCGAGAAAATTTTTTTGACAGTTCAAATAGTATAAAACAATAACAACCCAACCCCATCCCACCTCGTGAGAATACTTAACTAGTTTACATTTTTTTTTTTTTGTACGGTGTAATTTTCTTTATAAAGAAACAAAAATCAATATTAAAAAGAACGAATTAAAGGATGGAACGCGCAACTATTCTCTGATTTTAATTGTTTTTATATTTTATGTTTCTAATGATCGTATACGTAGAATAAAGTCATTTACCATTTACCCAATTTTACGTATAATTCACGAAATTCTATCAACTTTCAACGGCTCGACACCCGGTGAACCGCCAATATTATAATATATTCGAGCCATGTGTGCGGCCCAAAACAGTAGAGTATTCTTTATTTTTTATTGATGAAAGAAATAAGTTGAATAATTTCGATCGAGTACTGTACCCCTCATTTTATTTCGTGTATAGGAGAGTGATTTTGGTGAAATTTGGTGATGACAACCCTGCTCCTTCACGTATTAGAAAAGAGTTAAAAATGACCAATCAGAGCAGATGATGGTTTGATATTGCTTCTCATCACAATTTAATTACCTTGTTATTTTAACACAATTATTTTGCCCGATTATTTGGTCACCGAACTTTTAAGTAAATAAGTAATTTTATATAATATTATATAATTATAATATATATACATATGATGTATTTGTTTCTTCTTCACGCTAATTACCAGAGAATATTGTATTATTGTTATTAATTTATTTTAGATTTTGAGCGAAGCAAACCATATCGGTTAGACAGTGTTTTTTTAATTTTTTTTCTCTATCTGTTATCAACTACTTTATCAGACATCTTGCTCCGATTTTCAAGTGAAATTATATGTGGCTGATCCTTTAAAACGATTAAAATTTGATTCTTTTATCGGTTTTTATCATAATTGGATAAAACGTAAGAAAAACGGAAAAATATACAAAACGTATTATTAGATTCCGAGCGTAGCGAGGGAGTATTGGTTTTACTATGTTGTTTATTTTTTCTTCTTCTTTGTTCTTTGTTCTAGACTGTGGACATGTTTTTTCGTAGTATATTTGCTCTGATCTTTACGAACTGCAACTTTTCTGAAAGCTCAAGTTGTCTAGATTGTTCTTTAAAAAAAATATTTTTTGATATTCGATGCCATTTTTTAAATAAAAATACTTAAGCCGGAAAACATAGCAAAACGTACAATTTCACGATTTCATTATTTTATAAAAACACGGACGACGTTTTCTACCAGAATAAATGATTGAACCGAAAAATCACAAGACACCTTTATTTGTTTCCGTTTTGATTTAGTTACTAACGGTGTAGTTGCCAAAACTTTTGAGCCACAATTGAGCTTTAAAAGAATTTTAATTTTTGGGAGTTTTTTTGCTGTTTTTCAGCTATAAATACACGTAGAGACTTGAAACTTGGTAATAATACGTATATTCAACGTACCTAAACGTAATAAAATTTCCAAAATTATCGGATAATTTTTTTTAAATTTTTTGAAAATGATACTTTATTTTTTTTTATATACTGTAGACCACTTTTATCCTTGAAAACCTTCTCTGATGTATAAATGTAACACCTTTTCTGAAATTCAATTTAATTTACTTGGTAAATACATAGGTCATTTTTTGATTTTCGAAACGGTGTTCAAAATAAAAACGATTAACCGGGAAAAAATACGTATCTACCATGTTTTCTAGCACAAATATGGGTCCAATTGAAAAACGACAAAAGACTTTTTTTTGTTTAATTATTAATCTTGTTTTTAATGATGCAGTTAGTTTTTTTTTTTTTCCGAATTAGTTTTTATAATAAAGAGGAAAAAGTAGGAAAAACGTATAATTTCCCAATATTATTATTTTATATTATCACGGAAAACTTTTATTATTCGGAAAAATGCTTTGATCGAAAAATTATAAGAAACCTTTTTGTTTCGTTGTACATCTTTTTTTTATAGCGCAAGTCATTTTTTGATTTCATAATGTTTCGTAAAAACCAGAAGAAGACGAAATTTTTGTAATTCAGTTAAAAAAATTAATAAACAGAATAAACTGTTATTAACAGAATGTTCACATTTCGTTGTATAAATTGCACCATTAAATACTGTATATCAAAACTTTGACACAATATTGATAATTTTAGCTAAAATTATATTTATTATATTATCATCAGAAGTATAAAAAAAAGTTGATACTGTCAATAAGAGAAGTTTGAAGGGATGATATAACTTAGTGTCTTTTTTTCCTCAGCAACAAGAGACCATATTTTTGGTGAATTTTATTTTGTTAATAAGCGTTTTGAAATCAAATTTAAACGAAAATAGCAAAAAAATTGCGGCACTTCAAATTATTTATTATCAAACTGCGCTCGGAATCGTCTTTCGTCAGCAATGGTTTATCGTTGGTTACAGGTATAAATTAAATAACTTTATGTATCCCACCTTTCTCACTACTCATCTACAGCAGTGGCCGCACCTATCCCCAGTATCAGATTTTTTTTTTGTGTGGTTCATTTAAAAATATTTGTATAGACTTAGAATTTAGACAAAAAACTTGTTTCCATCTGCAATGTGAGAATGGGAAATAGGGAATTTTTACCATGGTTATTTGATATTCAAATAAACAGGCACGTTAGCAAGATAATAATGCGTGTCGAAACTCACGTAGTAGTTTAGTATCAATGTTGTTGTATAATGTCAACAAATGTAGTATTTTAATATTTTAATGTAAAGTGTGAATAAGAATAGGGGTGAGCGGAATATTTTCAAAAATTCTGCCCAATTTAAACGTGCCCATACTTACAGAAAAACTGACACGACGCCCTTGTGATATGCCTCGGTTCGAATAGAAAACTCGCGGTCCGAGTTCGCGGGACAATTTTATTTATCATTGATCGTTTAAACGCGCGCACCCTTTCGGGCGGTGCGATTAGCGCGACGGTGGCGCGTTCCGAGAGTGTCCGTCAAAAACCTTTCGTTTAGAGGGGCCCCGGTGGCCGGTTGTCACCCACGCCGTTAATTAGGACGACGAGGCGTGTTGTTTAACGACGGATTTGGCTTTTAAGCCGACGCCCGCGATTTGCGACCCCCGTCGACGACGTTTGCCGTCGCCGTGTATTAATTTTCGTTAAATCGCGCGCGCGCCCTCGCTAGCGAATCGCGAACGTCCGCGAAAAACGATCGATGAGCCCGGGGACCGTGGACGGATATTACACACGCGGTCCCGACGAACGCGTACACGGGCGACCGGGCGCGAGTTTTGTGTACGCGCGACGGGGAAAAAGTCGTCGGGCCGCCGCCGCGGCGAGCCGGGCCAAACTGGCCGCGCCTCTGAGGTTTTAATGGATTTTTAATCGGCTCGCGACAGAACCGTTGACGCTGCCGTCGCGACGACTACGACGACCCGTTATTTACGACCAGAAGGAAAAAAAAAAACAATAATAAAACAAATCGCTACGACTACAAACGTATGCGCGCGTACGACAATATTATGTACGTGCGTTCGAACGTAACTACGAGTTCCAATGTGACCGCGGCAAAGGAAAAAAAAACGTATAAATTTCGCTTAGAAAATAACGTGGAAACGATTTGTAACAGAGAGACGACGACGGCGACGACGGCGATAACCTTTCGACGATCTCGCAAGAAAATTAAAAAACGATAACGAAGACTATATAATAATACGTATTGTACCTCGTGTATACGCAGTAACCTATAAAAATAACGTTGCGGTCAAAGAGGCCGCGGTCCGAGAAAAAAAAAAAATTATAAACACGTGTGTGTGTGTGACCGCGTCGGAAACGACCGAGGCCGCAACGCGAAGAAAGCGAAATTTCAATGAGGGTAAGAGCTCCGAATTATCATTGTTTTGACCAGCAATTTTTTTTTTTTACTACGTTTTTATCCTTTAATACGCGGGGAAATTGAGGTGCCATTTGAGGTGTAAATATGCTCCGGTTAAAAAATAAATATCGATCGAGTAGAGGATAAAACAACTAAGTGATCAGTTTTCAATAACACGCGTTGACGTAATCCGATCGATTTCAATAAGCGTCACGGTGGAATGTAAAACCTGTACTTATACGGAGCATATAAAGTGGTCGTCACTGTGTTTAATATAACGGCTCGTGAATCGAGGAATTTTTCTCGAAACCGTGCGAGGCGAAATAAAAATATTAAATGATGCCGACCAGTGTCGAAAACCTACAAACCAACCGTCGGTCGATCCAAAACTGCCAATACTGCTAACAACAATAAGTTATAGTATCCTAAACCGTGTAAACCTATTACCCTCACTAGTATCCTAGTAGATGAAAAATCATGTCGGGTAGATTGCAGGATTTTAGACGGGTGCACACAAGCGATCGGGTTTTCGTTATCATCAAGAAATATGTCTGAACTTATTTGCAATAAAGCCAATTACATATTTGTTTCCACATGTTACAATAATTTTTAAAAATCATCATGCACGAGGGCCCCGGAAAAATAATATTTTATGTAAGTAGGTACCTATACCCAAGTAAAATGAACTTATTATAACAAATGTTACCGATGTTAATATACATAGTACATTAGATTGACAATTTTATATTTATATATTTTTAATAGCTACTAAATTTATGAAATTAAATTATTATTGATTTCAAGTAATAAATGGATTATAATTTATTTTTGACTATCTTTCATTATCTAATATCTAGATGATTTCGTTTCAAGCCATCTTTTTCTGGATCGATTTTTGGTATTTTATCTTTTTTTAATAAATTCAACTAGGTATAATTTGTCTCGATAGTGCAAACATAGGTATTTTGCAGTAGATTTTTTGGAATTTATTTGTAACCGACGGCTAGTATATTATAATATACGATATTTTATTTTTATGTCAAAGGTAATAATATTTTTCTTTCGCACTTCTCGCGGTTAGGTGATAATTTGATAACAAAAACAAATCGCAGTATTAAACTTTTGCCAAAAACAGGTAACGACTGCAGACGAAAACAAAAACAATTTTATTGGCACAGCAAATCCGACTATATGTTATTAAGGTAATACTTCAGGCGATGCACTATGGTTTGTGAAAAAAAAAATACATTTACATTTATATTCTTATATATTTTTCCCTAGCATTTTTATGCAAATGTTTACGGTGTTTTTACTGTACGCGCCCTAGAAAAATGCAATATTTGTCCTTTGAAGAATCACTGGTTTTCGTTTAGACTTCGTGTATACGTATATAGTATATATTATATTTAAAATTAAATACGCATTCGTGCTCAAACGCATTGTATTCAAGTAAAATAATATACGAGCGTGTAGATGATGGGGGAAGGGGAGGGGGTTGTTCGGAGAAAGGAATCGCAGAGATATAAAATGTCTTGTATTAAATAAAATAAAAATGAATTTCCTTCTTCTTTCTTCGAACGTTATTGTACTGTAAGGAAAAACTTTTGAAACTCGTTACACGGAACAAAACATTATATATCGAATTACAGAATGGTTTTATAATTGAACAGTCGCTTTTAAATGGTATTGTGCCCGTAAATATTTAAAAAAAAAAAAACCCCGAGAGGTCAGAATCGACACGGTTCTAAATCACTTCCAAAATCATATATATATATTGTTTATATTTACAATGCTGTATAATCTATATTATATAAAATATGAAGTGTCTTGTGTGTACCATACTGGGAAATGGTAGGTACGTACATAACATACGCATATGTAGAGGGTGTAACTGAACTGAGTAACACGTTTTGCATGATAGAAGAAGCAAATCACTTTTTTCAGAGTTTTACCATTACTCGCGACCTTATGAAATCTAATTGTTTACACGTTATCATATGATATACTAACCCAAATCTTATAAATAAACTAACCTAACAAGTGATTTTTCGCAAAACCATAGGTACGCACTACACTAAAATAATGGATACCCGTAACCAACATCATTTCCTATCATTAAAATTATTTTAGTTTGGATAGGATTTTCGCAAAAAGTCGCGTGCAATGTTTAACGAACATTTTATGATCGAGACAGTTACGCAAAACTGAAATTATGTTTCTAATTTGTTTACCCAATATAATATGACCGTGTATTATAATCTGGGACTAACGAGAGTTACTTAATTAATCTACACCCTGTATATATATTACATTTAAAAAAAAAATAGACACCACCATCATCATAATAAAATATGTAATAAGATCGGCTGGGAAACGGACCGATTGTCTGGCCGTCTGGTTGTCTGGCTTCCACGTGTATCCTGCGACCGTCCGCCACCTGTGTTTCGGACACACGTCACTTTGTGTATCACACACAAAACGGTAGCTACGAAAAACTTGTTTGTCATATTGCGTCTGTACTGCTAACCGGTTACCACAATTGTACCGGAGATACAATTATAATACTATCCCTTTATTACTCATGTAAGGTACTCTGCACGCTCTCTAGGTCTATACCGCCGCTATACCGGGTCTCGGGGTTAAGTATAAAACGAATCGATATAGCATCGATGCACTCTTCTTATATAAAATAATAAATTATAATTGTTTGTGTCTCACATATTAATCTTTATCTCGTCTGTACACGAAATGTTGTTTTTGTATATGTCCCCCCTCCACCAAAAAATGTAGATAATTATCGCGTAAAAATATTTAGGTTTTTTTCGGTAGAAGACATTTTTCAACTTCCGATTTGTTGACGTAGTAGTTTCCGCCTGATAAATAATAATAATTATTACATATTGTTTGTTCTTAATCCGACTTTTGATTCTGATTTGAAAAATATTAAAATTAGGCGGATTAAAAAAATATGTATTTAATTTATATTTATATTTGTTTGTAAGAAAATCGACGATAGGTAATTTTATCGATTAAACAGTTAGATAATATTTATGACGAATTCGCGTAAAAATCGTGCGCGTTGGTATGAATTTTACCTGCGTCAGGCGTGCGTTAAGTTTTTATTATTTTTTTTTTATTAAACATAACTGTCTGCGGTATTTATGGCCATTAGACGTGACATTACATATAAGTATAATTAAATGACACAGATATTAGGAAATATTAAATAGGTAGACATTTACAGGTACTAGACAAAAGATTTAAATATAGATATTATAAAATATGATATGCAATTTATAATTTATTTAATAGGTTGGTTTGTGAAAGAAAGCGTATTAGCTTGAAAACGTTGATTGGTTCGGGGTTGAGTACTTCGACAAGGTGATCGGAGATCTGGAATCGTTCTCTTTCCCTGTCGTAGATTCTGCATTCGGTTAAAACATGTTTAACTGTGAAGGAGACCCCACAGCATGAACAAATAGAAGGGTCTTTATTTTTCATTAAATGAGAGTAGGTGAGGTGAGTGTAGCCTATTCTGAGACGGTTGATGGAAGTCTTGTATTTCCTCAGAGTGTTAACGGGAATTATAAACGGCTGAACGTAGTTCTTTATTTCATTTAGTTTGGTGGACATTTCATTCCATTTGACATTGAAGAAGTGTGTCATCTTCGACGACTCTTTTTATGTCATTAAAGGAGCAAAAAGGTAAAGTGAGAGCATCGGGTGCTAAATGGCCGAGTTTGGCGACCTTATCTGCTTGTTTATTTCCGAATATATTGCAGTGCCCGGAAATCCAAGTGTAATATTTTTGCCTGATTGTTGAGCCATGGTATGGGTGTTCTGGATTTTCCTGGCGATGTCAGATAGGGGTGTAATGCTTGTAAGGGTAGAGAGGGAGTCACTCAAAATTCTGATGTTAATGTCGTGAACATTGAATAAAGTGTTTTTAATAGCTTTAAGAATTTCTAAAGCTTCAGCGATATATATTGAATAGTTATTAGAGAGTTTCCATTTAATTGTGGTTTCATCATATATGATAGCCATTCCAACACTCCCTCATTGCGGGAGACCTCAGTGTATATGTGAGTTTGACAATGCGCTTAAAAAGTTTTATGTTTCGATTACGCTAGACGTGCCAAATTGTATTCGGTTATAGAAACAAACGCTCGAAATTAAATCGAAGACGGCAAGTCGAACGGACACCGCCCGGCTCCCAAATCGCAACGAATCAACAATAACTGGGCAATACGTAATATTCTTTAAATCAATAATTAATAAATTTCGATTTCTCTTTGTTTTTTTTGGCCGCCACCACAAGGATTGTCGTCTCGTATCGACCGATTCATTATTACATAACAATAATCGATTCGCGTATGGCGTTCAATCGAAACGGATTGTCTGTACGAAGTCTAAATCATCGCCGCTGTTTTCGTCCGGATATCAACAATTAAAAAAATAAGTGCCCACGTAATGTTATACTTGTGTACAATTATTATTGTGTTTTATAATGTTAATTTTTATCGCGTCGATACTGCGTCGTTATTACCGACCGTGCAGTAGTATCAATATCCCGTATGTGTTGTTAATTAATTACTAATATCGATATAGACCAATAATAATAATAATACATATATATATGGCAATATTTCCACCCGCACCACCATCACCACCATTTCGATAAATTGTTTCAATAATTATTAGCGATTGATACGCGTGACACACATAATGATATACCTAGCTACTAAAATATTTTATTAAATCGACCGTGTATACGTATATGATAATATAGGCAATGTCTTCGGATGAAAATATAATATTACGTTTTATCGTGAACGGAAAATAATATTAATTTTTTTTAATTACCAATATATTATATAATGTTAATCGTGATCATTTCATTAGCCGATATTGTTAAATAAAAATTAAAAAAACAAAATGTCCAGTAATTTCACGGCGTAAAGATTAAATAGGTGTAGGAACCTACCGGACTGTATACAGGCTGAACAATATCTCGTAAGATACTTGTTATCTTGGAAAGTATTAACTTTTTCCGGAAATCATTTTCAAGAATATTTAAAAACAAACTTGCTCTAGAATTTTATATTTATGTTATTTTTTGACATCCTTATTTTTAGGGGTAAAACAACTATCTACTTTTGATTTACAAGGACAACCTTTATGAAAAATTTCATAAATACATCTATTTGGAGTGTTATTTAAAATAAATTTTAATGTTAACATTTTTGATTTTCGTCAATCCGTTGATGAGATTTTCCAAAAATTTTAAGTTTTCGTTGGGGGAGAGTGGTGGTACATTATTAACACGCCGCGCGCCGTACAACCAAACAGATGATACTCTACTACTCTCATCCAACCAAAACTTAAAAGTGCAATATTTCGTCAATGGATTGACGGAAATCAAAAATGTTAACACTAAAATTTATTCTAAATAATTCAATAATTGGATGGCACTTTAAAGTGGTCATTTCTTGAAATTCTCATTAATATTCGAAATAATGAGGAAAACCTCGGTCTTTGGCTTAAAAAAGATTAAAAATAGGCAACCGTTTTTATTTATTTTCCGTTGTTATTAGGCATTTATTAATTATTTTAATCCTTTTTAAACAATCATTGTTGTCATGGAAACGCATATTGTTTTAATCGTTTTACCATAATATGACATATATATATATATATAAATTGTTGACAAAGCAACACTATCAACTGAACTCAGAATCATCTTTTCGTTAGCAATGGTTTATCAGTTACTTACAGATATACATTTAATTCCATCAGTATCCTGCCTTCCAATTTCCCACCACCTACAAAATGGCTGCACCCACGTACGAAGTATATCCGTCTTTTTTCAATAATATTATATCAAGTTTTAAGAATGCACACGAGCATAAATAAATCGATGAATCAAAAACAATAATGAAGTATATACACGCGTAATAATTATAATTATCGTAAATTATCCTTGCGCGTTATTTTTTTAGATTATAACATTATATCGTTCGGTTTTGTTATTATTTGTTGGGTTATTTTTTATCTTATTCGCCGCGTACCTATACTCGTAATGAATGCGCATTCAATATATTACCCAGTAACGCTATTGTTGGTTATAACACGATCGAAGATTATACGAATACCGATAAATAATGAAACAATATCGGTAATCATCTAAAATTCTTGAGAAACGATTTCTACGAACGTGTCCTCCCACAGGTCTTTTCGTAATACAAATTGAGATTTTCGTATTCGAATTAGTTCGTTCGATTCATATAATAATAAAATATTCAATTTTGTGTAATCTTTTTTTTCCCTAACCTTTTCTATTCGACGATATTTTTTTTTTATAATCATTGATTTATTAATATCGAGTTCGGCAATCAATAGACGTCTTAAAAAAAAAAAATCTTATCTTTATTAACATTCGTTTTATTACCGAGAGCGGCTCGTATAAAATATTAAGTGATAAAACACGATTATGATATATTTTTAATGCGCACGGTATTTCGACCCGATATCAATGGGATTATGTATCATAGACCCGATTGAGACAATAAAAAAATAATGATAATAAAAAGAAAATGAACCGTAGAATGGATATACTTATAATATATACGTTAAAAAAAAAAAAAAAAATGATACTGTATAGACAGATACTTTAGGTTAATACGGGTAATTAAGTTTATATACTGTATACGAAAATATAGATTATTATAAACAGGTAAACGAAAAGCGATTCTGAACAGAGTAGTAATATAATATAGTCATAACCTAAGAGTTCAGTTTTTTCCCTCATAGAAACTGCTGAAAAAGTCGATGATTCGAATTTAAAATACCGCTCGGCGGATATTTTGGATCTTTTGAGGTATTGTGTGGAAAATCGTAGCATTTTTGGTAACCGAAAAATTATTTGAAAAATAAAAAAAAACACACAAACAATCATCTTAAAGTAAAACGAATAGCTTCTTCGGTACACTCAGAAAAATAAAGGTTCATTAATTATAATATAATAAAATAAAATTCACGTTTACAATAATTATTCACATTTTCGTTTATATTGTACGGCTATTTTATTTTACTTTTAGTATATATCATATTTTTAATGTTATATTTTTCGAAAATCCAAAAGATTATCATAATAAAAGCGGACACTAGGAATATATTATTTTGTCTCGTGTCCCGAGAGAATAACCCTGTGCCTGTTCAGTGTGCGATGTGTGTACGCGTGTACGAACATGGTGTAAAAAATTCATTAAGGGACTTTGTATACATAAATCAAACACACACACACACACATACATAGAGAGAGAGGGAGTGCGCAAAAATGAAGCAAATCATACCTATACCTACTGGTAGTCATGATTAAAAAAAAAAAAAAAAACGAAAAAACAAAGCGACAACGTGACTTTTTACATAAAAGGGATTTTTTTTTAATCAAACACAATATGTCGGTTACACACGTGACGTCATTCGTGAAAAAAAAAATTTAAAAAAAAAAAGTTCTTTCCGATTTTGTGCGAGGATCCTGCGCACTACTATTATATTATACAGTGCGGCACAGAGCTCGCAGATGAGAGAGAGACGGTGAAATATGTGACTGCGGGGAAAATAATACACGCGGGACTCGGCAATGATTACACACTGTGCAGTATACAGCGACGGCTGAGAGGTGAGAATAGAGAGGAGAGAGTAGGGGAGGGGACACACACGGCGTGCGCACGTGTGTGTGAGTGTGTGTACAAATGAATGACGGCGATGCGTTGTTTCGTAAATTAATGATACATCAAACTTTGTGTATACGTGTGTGCGCGCGCGCGCACACGTATATTATATGTTCGAAATTCCATTAATAAAATATATACCAGAGCGTTATAATAATAATAATAATAATAATAGTATTGTTTTGTATACCGTACACACTATATGCGAACACACTGTATATTTATAATATGTATGTATAGATATAGCCACTATCGGTAATACAAGCGTTTTACATGCGCTGTAAACATTATTACCATATAATATTATGCATACACGTATATTAATAATAACTTGATAATACTCGACTAGTGCACCGGACGATATCATACAGTGTCATTCGGATGGCGGCGGCGTTAGTTATTTCATTATTATTATATTATTTATATACGAAACGATTGTAAAGGACGAGGTCGGACACGATGTAGTAGTATTATGTCCACCGTACAATATTTGTAGACGGCTATTACGATACTATATACGATAATAAACGATAATATTAATATGGCAACGAACATCTTGAAACAATTATTATACTACAAAAGCGCGTATTATAATGTTAGGTATATTACGGGGGTGGATCCGGGATGAGATAACGGTGATGGGACGGCAGAGAAGATGATTCGTAAAATTTAAAGGGCGCACACGTGTCTTTGTTCTTGCCTCCCTCCCCTAGTGCCCCTGTACACGAGGTTGTAAACTACTTTTTGACCGTACGTTTACAGCCCGTTCCGATCGTGACGTAGTAACGATTTTGAATCGTGGGCGGACTAAATACGTTTTCACTTGAGACGCAGAAGAAGATTAGAAGGAGCGAACACTCACCCCGGACGAGTGTTCTCATCGATACACATTTAAATGTAATATTTTAAACGAAAATGTATATTAAAAAAAAGACACACTTCACACGTGGGTTCAGCCATTGTTGTATGTGGGAAGGTAGGATACAGACAGGAATTAAATATACATCTGTAAGCAACGATAAGCATTGCTAACAAAAATACAATTCTGAGCGGAGTTCAGCTGATAATTTAACTTTGTCAAAAATATATTACATGTCATATTATGGTAAAATGATTACAATAATGTGCGTTTCCATGAAAACAATGATTGTTTAAAAATATTACAACAATAAAAACTTATTAATAACAAAAAATTAATACAAACAGTTGCTAATTACAATCTTAATCTTTCAATCTTATTTAACCTTAAGAACTAGGTTCAAATATGAAAAATAAATTTGAAAAATAACTTCTTTAAAGTACCACTCAGAG